TGGTTAATTAGTACCGGATTTAGAGTGATTTTGTTTTTGTTTTTTGTAACCTGCTGGCTCTGCCAGTCTTGCGAAGCGGATTAAGTGGTTTAATTTTTTTTTGGCTATTTTTGTTTTTTTGTTTTTTTCCTTTTATTTTTATTTTTTCTCCCTTTCTTCTCTCTCTCTTTGGAACAGTGGATATATATGGTTTTTGTTTTGTTGGAATTTTGATTTTGGTTGGATGGGATTGGCCAGGCAAGTGGCAGAAGAGATATTTTTGAAATTTGGTTTATCCTTTTGTCTCACTTACCTCTTTCTTTTTGCCGGTTTTTTTGATTATTATTTTTAGTTACTCCACTTTGGTTTTGTATTGGATTGGCCAAACAAGTGGCAGAAATTGGGATTGGAAATTTTTAGTTTAAAGGAATTTGGTGTTTCATAAGACTGTTTTATATCTATTATATTGAATTGGCCAACCAGGAGGCAGAAGGTTTATTAATTGGAAATTTATTTATTTTTTTAAATTAATATTTATTACTTTTCTAACAATTTAAACACTACAAAAACAATACAATACAATACAATACAACACAATAGAAAAACACTACATAACATTGACACATAAAAACACATTAAATACATTAAACTAACAAAATAAAACAAAGACAGTTTAAAATAAATCAAACAATTTCAATATCTTATCTTTCATTCACTTATTTCCACGACCTCCTCCCACCTCCCTTTTTGTATTCCACTTCTGTTAATTGTTTCAGCTGTTAATGCCTTTCCATCTTCCTCTGTTTTCTATCCTATAATTATCTTAACACATTCTAACCTTATTTTTTCCTTTAATACTCTATTAATCTATTTATACTTAATTCCTTGTAACATTTCTACTAAAGCCATATAACTTCATTCCAACATTTTTCTAACATTCATTAATTTTACAGTGTTTCTGTAAATAGTCTTTAAACTTTTTCCAGTCTTCTTCCACCAACTCTTCTCCCTGGTCTCGGATTCTGCCAGTCATTTCCGCCAATTCCATATAGTTCATCAACTTCATCTGCCATTCTTCCCGGGTGGGTAAATCTTGTGTCTTTCAATACTTCGCAATAAGTATTCTTGCTGCTGTTGTTGCATACATAAAAAAAGTTCTATCCTTCTTTGGCACCAATTGGCCGACCATGCCCAGGAGAAAGGCCTCTGGTTTCTTCAGGAAGGTATATTTGAATACCTTTTTCAATTCATTATAAATCATCTCCCAGAATGTCTTAATCCTTGGGCATGTCCACCAAAGGTGAAAGAATGTACCTTCAGTCTCATTACATTTCCAACATTTATTGTCGGGCAAATGATAAATTTTTGCAAGCTTGACTGGTGTCATGTACCACCTATAAATCATTTTCATTAAATTTTCTCTTAGGGCATTACATGCCGTGAATTTCATACCTGTGGTCCATAACTGTTCCCAGTCAGCCATCATTATATTATGTCCAACATCTTGTGCCCATTTAATCATAGCTGATTTCACCGTTTCATCCTGAGTGTTCCATTTCAACAGCAAGTTATACATTCTTGACAAATTCTTAATTTTTGGATCTAACAGTTCTGTTTCCAATTTTGATTTTTCCACCTGGAAACCAACTTTTTTGTCCAAATTGTATGCCTCCATTATTTGGTAATAATGGAGCCAATCTCGCACTTTATTTTTCAATTTTTCAAAACTCTGCAGTTTTAGTCTGTCTCCATCTTGTTCCAGAATTTCCCAATATTTCGGCTATTTGGCCTCCATACTGAGTTTTTTCTGTGCCTTCGCTTCCATTGGTGACAACCATCTTGGGGTTTTCTTTTCTAGCAAATCTTTATATCTTATCCAAACATTAAACAATGCTTTTCTAACAATATGATTTTTAAACGCTTTATGTACTTTTACCTTATCGTACCACAAATATGCATGCCAACCAAATACATTATTGAAACCTTCTAGGTCCAACACGTCAGTGTTTTCAAGTAGCCATTCTCTCAGCCAACAAAAAGCAGCTGATTCATAGTAAAGTTTAAGGTCTGGCAGGGCAAATCCACCTCTTTCTTTAGCATCAGTTAATATCTTAAATTTTATTCGAGGCTTCTTGCCCTGCCAGACAAATCTGGAAATATCTTTCTGCCACTTCTTGAAACAATCCATCTTATCCAAAATTTGTAATGTTTGGAACAGAAACAACATCCTTGGCAGCACATTCATTTTTACCGCAGCAATTCGATCTAACAATGATAACTTCAAATTTGTCCATATTTCTAAATCCTTTTTCACTTCGATCCAACATTTTTCATAATTATCCTTAAATAAATTCACATTTTTGGCAGTCATGTTAACCCCTAAATATTTCACTTTCTTAACCAGTGTTAATCCAGTCTCCTCCTGAAACTTCTCTCTCTCATTCACAGTTAAGTTTTTCTCTAAAACCTTAGTTTTCATTTTATTCAGCTTAAAACCTGCTACCTGTCCGAATTCCTGAATCAGTTCCAATACCCTTTTAGTACTGGATTCTGGCTCCTGTAAAGTCAATACTAAATCATCAGCAAATGCTTTCAGTTTGTACTGTTTAGCTCCCACTTGTATACCTTTAACCTCTTGGTCCTTTCTTATCATGTTTAACAAAACCTCAAGGACCGATATAAAGAGCAATGGAGAAATTGGGCAGCCTTGCCGTGTCCCTTTCTCAATCTTAAACTCTTCTGTCACTACATTGTTCACAATTAATTTTGCCTTTTGTTCTGAATAAATTGCACCTATACTGTTTTCAAAACCTTGACCTACCCCCATCCCCTGTAGATTCTTCTTCATAAAACTCCAAGAAATATTGTCAAAGGCTTTCTCTGCATCCACAAATATCAAAACTGCCTTAGTGTTGATATTCACTTGTAGTTTTTCTAGAATATTAATTATATTCCTCATGTTATCAGACAAATGTCTGCCCGGAAGAAAGCCCGCTTGGTCTTTATGAATTTCTTCTACTAACACATTTTTTAATCTTTTAGCCAAAATATCTGCAAAAATTTTGTAATCCACATTAAGCAGCGATATGGGGTGGTAGTTCTTAAGCTGTGTCTTTTCAGTCTCTGCTTTCGGTATAAGTGTTATGTAGGCTTCCTTCCACTACTCTGGTGCCTTCCAATATTTCGTTGCAGACTTCCTTCAATGGTTGTATTAACCATTCTTTCAAGGATCTGTAATATCTTGAAGTCAAACCATCTGGCCCTGGAGATTTACCTAATTGCATATTCTGGATGGCCCCTTCCACCTCCTGATCCGTTACTTTGTGATTCAACATTAGCTGTTTTTCCTGAGAAATTTTGTGTAATCCATTTATTTTCAAAAATCGATCAATGTCCATTTCTTTCTGCTTCTCCTGTGTATAAAGTTGTTTGAAATACCTCTGGAAGCACTTCCTAATCTCCACTGGGTTCTGTATATTCTTTCCTTCCACTTCCAAATTCGTAATAGTATTGAGTTTTTGTCTTTTTTTCATTTGCCAGGCCAACAGTTTTCCACACTTATTTGCTGATTCAAATGTCTTTTGCCTCATCTGTTTAATCTTCCATTCTATTTCCTGATTCATCAGCTTCGCGTATTGTACTTGATGTAACTTTATCTCTTTCAGAATCTCCTGTGACTTTGGTTTTGCTCTCAGTTTCTTCTCTCCTTCCTTTATCTTTCCCAGGATTTTATCCTTTTTTTCATTCTGAGTTCTCTTCTTAATTGCATTCTGTTGCATTAGGAATCCTTTCATAACCGCTTTGCTTGCGTCCCAAATTACTCTTTTTTCCACTGTGGTATTCATGTTTATCTCAAAATAGTCTCTTAGAGTTTTTTGGGCCTTCTTGGTCACCTCTTCATTCCTGAACAAAGTGTCATTCATCCTCCATCTGAAGGAACCAATTGGCGTCAATTTCATTTCCATCTTCACCGCATTATGGTCAGAACAAGTTTTGGGGCATATCTCCACTTTACTGATCTTCGGAGCCAATCCCCTGGTTACCCAGATTTGGTCAATTCTTGTCCATGTCATTTTAGCCTCAGAGAAGAAAGTTCCCTCTCTTCCCAGAGGGTTCTTCATTCTCCAAATGTCAACTAAGTCCATATTTTCAGTCATGTCAAAAAAAGTTTTTGGTAGCCTACCATCTTTGGTGACTACCTGTCTCTGTGCCTTGTCCACTTCTAAGTTCTTCTGGTAGTGCCAACCCAAAATTCTATCTCTCTCTTCTTTAGTTCGAAGGGTGATCAAGCAATCTCTTATTCTATTCTCTTCTTGAGCCAAGTCCAATTCCCAAAAGTCAGCAAATTCCTGTGTAAGAAAGTCTATCAAGCTTTCCTTTTCCAGTTCAGGTAGGGCTCTAATAGTCAGATTCGTCTGTTTTTCTTTAAGTTCAATCATAGCAAGCGTCAACTTATGCTCATCAAATTGCCTCTGTAAGGCTGGGACTCTCTCTCTTTCCAGTTGTGTTACTTTACATTCAGCAGCAACATCTTTCTCCCTGGCTTCCTCCACAGTCTGCCGTATCAGAGTAGATTCCTGTATCGATTTCTGGATAGCTTCTGTATTGGTATTCACCTTTAGTCCCAGATTGTTTATACTTTCCGTTGCAACATCCACTTTCTTATTAAGCTGTTCCAATGAATCTTTTATCTTACCTAATGCAACTGCTAAAACCTCTTCTGACAACATTCCTCTTGATTTTGGTTGCACTGATGTAGAAGCCGCAGCAGAGGAAGCAGAGGGGCCTGGTATTGAACCTCTCCTGGGTTGCTGCCAAATTTTCCCAGATTTGTTTTTTCAGCAGTTGGCTGATCTGTTTTTTCCTTTCCATTTGCCATAACACTTAAAAGATTCAAAGTCAGTCCCAGAGTCTCACAGTTTTTTATCTTGCAGCTGGAAATTCCCCCAGCCCAACTCTTGTAAAGCAACCAGTTTCAAAGGCTTCCACTAGGGGGAAACAGTTTCTATTTATGTTATTTTGTATTAATCAATAATGTCCTTTTTTAAACACAGTTCCAACAATCCAAAGTTAGTTTCAATTTTCAGTTACTTTACTACTTTTTAGAAACAGCTGGAGACAGTAGAAACAATGTATTTCTCTTATTTAGCTAGCTGTCAATGAACGTTCTAAGCGCTGTCAATGAACATCCAAAGGACGTCAGTCCTGCTAGCAGCCCGTTTCCAGGGTCAGAGCGGCGGAATTCTAGCTCTCCTCACTCTCTCCTGCAGGCATACTCAGTCCACAACTTCTCCCCCTCTTCTCCTGCCTCCAAGGGGGGGTTAAATGTTCTTTACTGGTGGAGATTTATTCTTTTAGAAAAGGCTTTCCAAGACTTCAGCTTGCAGCCTCATTGCTTCAGTCTATTTACAAAAGGGGAAGGCGGACTTCCTGTGTTGAACCTCCCCGTTACGATACCAAATTATACGTTTAAAAATCCAATTCTCCCGCTTCAGCTCTACTCACGGGTAATTACTTTAGAGTCGAATTGTCCACAGGAAAAAGTCAGCGCTCTCCGGCAACAGCTATGCGGCTTCGCTCCGTGGAAGAAGCAGACGACTCGAAGCACCGCACCACTCACCCCACGTCGCTCCGGACCCCCGAAACCGGGTTTCCCCGCGAGTAGGGGAGGCACAAAGGGTGCCCGCCGAATCCCACGTTCACAGGCTTCTCCCGCCTGTGATTTTTTGCGGGTCTCCGCCTTTGCTGTGGTGGCCAGACCCAGTTTCCCACGGGGCAAATTCCTCCCGGTCAGAGGAATTCCGCCATTGCCGATGGCGCCAACCCGGAAGTCTCTATTAATTGGAAATTTAAGGGTGATATCTGGTGGTGAGACAAGGAATAGCAAAAGGGCAGAGTGGAAATAATGAAGAAAACACAGGAAAAAGTGGGGGAAGGCGGGACACCAGTGGAAAGAAGAGGATCAATGCAGGAAACTGAGTTTAAGGGAGGTATTTTAAAAATGTTTGCAGGAAAAAAAAGGATATTAAACAATGTGAAAAGAATTTGGAGACAAGATTAGATTTGATAAAAAATACGATATGACAGTGAACAGAAGGGTCAGATGAAAGAAATAACAAAAAGAATGCAAAACCTGGAAGAAGGAATGAGACGAACAAAACAAGAAGTGAGAGATATGAAGAAAGAGGAAGAAAGGGTTAAGGGAGAAGTTTTTGAAATTAATAAAACACAGGAAGATCTGTGGGATGCGATTGCTATGAATAAATTGAGGCAAAGAGAACTTAATTTGAGGTTTAGATCTGTGCCTGAAGTACAAGGAGAGAACATCTTGGAGAAATTAACAGCAGAGATTGCACAATGGCTAAGCATGGAAGTGGAAGATGTTGGAAAGACAATACAGAATGCTTTTAGAATTAAAACAAGGACTGTCAAAACAAAGAAATTTCCAGGTGATTGTTTGATTATATTTAAAGATAGGGAGATGAGAAACCTGATTCTACAGAAAAATAGAGAAAAAAGGCTTTGCATTGATGGATCGTTTACAATCATTTTTAAAGACGTCCCACTTCGGCTGTTGAAAAAACCTGACCAATATAAATCTCTGACACAGATACTAAGGAAAAATGTAATTGAATTTAAGTGGGAATTTCCAGAAGGGATCTCCTTTTATTATAAGGAGAAAAAGTTTAAATTTACAAATGTTGATGACACGCATAAATTCTTGAGAAGATACAAAGAGTTGGGAAAAGTAGATGAAGTAGCAGAAGCGGGAGCAGCAGGCAGGACTGGAAGAAGAAGACAAAGGTAGTATTGAAGGAGAAGGAGAAGAGGAAGAAGAAGGTCAAGTTTAAGACTTTTACTCTTTTATTTTTAAGGAGAACACAAAATGGCACTGAAAATATGGACATGGAATGTTAACGGCGTTAACGACAAATAGAAAAGAAATAAAATTGGACATTTCCTTAAAAAAAAGAATTTGGACATTATTTGTTTACAAGAAACTCATGTGGCTAGGAAACATAGAAGAGTATTGATTAATAAAAAATTAGGAAATGAATTTATTTCATCAGACAGAAGCAGGAAAAGAAGAGTGGTTTTGTATATAAAAAGTAAATTTGAAGCTCGGCAAATCTTCAAGGATGAAGAAGGTAGAGTAATAGTGGTACAAGTCACATGGCAGGGCGAAAAACTAATAATTGTCAGAGTGTATGCACTGAACGGAAGTAAGACTGAATTTTATAAGGATTTAGAAGAAAATCTGTGGATCAGAAAATTATAGTAATGAGAAATATGAACGGAGTGGTATTGATGGAAATGGATAGGCTGAGGACAAGAGAAAAATCAAAAGAAGGGAAATTACCTAACACATTTTTTTCTATGATTGAGAATTGTAATCTAGTGGATGTTTGGAGACTAAGACACCCATTAGAAAAACAATTTACTTATTTCTCAGAACCAAATCAATCAATGTCAAGAAAAGTCTATGTTTGGATAACCAGCAAATTAACACGAAGGGTGACAAAAATAGAAATACAACCAAAAATACTTTCGGATCATAATGCAATAAAATGTGAGATAAAAGAAACAGAGGAAAAAACCTTTTGATGGAGATTAAATGAAAATTTACTGGATGACCAAAAAATAAAGGAGAAAGCGCAGAAGATGCTGACGGAATACTTTGTGAATAATAGTAATAAAGGAACAAAAATGAGTGTGGTTTGGGATGCTAGCAAAGCAGTTTTGAGAGGCTTCTTCATACATCAAAATAGCATTAAAAATAAATTTCGAGAAAAAGGAAAGAAAGAAATATTAAAACAAATAATAGAAAATGAGAAGAAGCTAGTTAAAAATCCAAACAACGTGAAAATAAATCAGAATATTAAAATATTACAAAGCCAATTTGCAATGATAATTAATCAAGAGGTTGAATGGAATATTAAAATACTGAGACAGAAAAATTTTGAATATGCCGATATATCTGGAAAATGGTTGGCATGGCAAATCTAAAAAAGGAAAGAACAGAGTACAATTAATAAGATCACAGTGGAAGGAAAAGAAATGACCCAATTGAAATAGAGGAAATTAAGGCTGCTATAAAAGAATTGAAAAGTGGAAAGACACCAGGACCGGATGGATTTACAGCAAAATATTACAAAGAAATGAAACACACCCTACTTGTACTGTTGAAAGAAGTTATGAACAATATATTAAGAAAAGGAGAATTACCAGAAACATGGAAAGATGCATATACTACATTAATACCAAAATAAGATTCGGATTTAATGCAAGTAAAGAATTACAGACCGATTTCGCTGTTAAATAATGATTATAAGTTATTCGCAAGTATATTGGCAAACAGATTGAAAAAGATATTGAATGAGATAATTCATAAGGACCAAGCAGGCTTTTTACCTGGCAGACAGATGAAAGACAACATAAGAAATATAGTTAATATAACTGAATATCTGACTGCCAGAAATGAAAAGCAAGCGATGTTAAATTTTGTTGATGCGGAAAAGGCCTTTGATAATATATCTTGGGAATTTATGTTAAAGAATTTGGAATTAATGGATACTGGAGAATTCTTCTTAAAAGGAATAAAAACTATATATTCAGAACAAAGAGCAAAATTGATTGTGAACAATATAGTAACAGAAAGTATTGATATTACGAAAGGTACAAGACAAGGGTGTCCATTATCACCACTATTATTCATATTGGTACTGGAAGTCTTTCTAAGGACAATAAGAAGAAATGAAATAATAAAGGGAATTTTAGTCGGTCGGAACGAGTATAAAGTGAAAGCCTTTGCCGATGACTTGGTACTAACAATAGAAGATCCAGTTACAAGTGCTAAAGAAGTATTAGAGGAGATAAAACTGTTTGGGCAAGTAGCAGGTTTTAAATTGAAAAAAAAGAAAACTAAAATGATAGTCAAAAATATGAAACAGGACCTGGTGGAAGTGTTGCAGCAACAAATTGGTATAGAAGCAGTAAAAAAAGTTTAATATTTAGGAATTTGGTTAACTCCTAAAAATATTGATCTCTTCCAAAATAATTATACACCGGTGTGGAATGGAATTAAAAGAGACTTGGAAATATGGGGAAGGATGAAATTGTCATTTTGGGGAAGGATTTCTGCTATTAAAATGAATGTGCTACCAAATATGTTATTTTTGTTTCAGTCAATTCCAATAATCAAGGGGGCAACAATTTTTAAAGAATGGCAAAAAACAATTTCAAGATATATCTGGCAGGGAAAGAAGCCGAGAATACAATATAAGTTATTAACAGATGTTAAAGAAAGAGGAGGCTTTGCCCTGCCAGATTTGAAATTGTATTATGAAGCATCTTGTCTCTGTTGGTTAAAGGAATGGATGGTATTAGAAAATACAGATCTGTTAGATTTAGAAGGCTATGATAATAGATTGGGTTGGCACGCATATTTATGGCATAACAAAGCAAAAGTCCATAAAGGATTTGGAAACCACATATTTCAAAGATCTCTAATAGAAATATGGGATAGATATAAAAATCTATTAGAACGAAAAATACCGCATTGGTTATCCCCATTAGAAGCAATGAGTGTGAAAAAGATCAATATGTGTGGAAATTGGATAACTTACGGGAGATTAATACAAAAAGAAGGAAGTAAATGGAAGATGAAACCATATGAGGAAGTTAAAGAATATGTAAATGATTGGCTTCACTATCGTCAGGTTAATGAAATGTTTAAACAGAATTTTAAAGAAAAAGGATTTGATGAAAATAAATCAAAGTTTGAAGCCGAGATATTAAGTAACAAATATAAAATTTTGTCTAAAATGTATAAATTGCTGCTTGAATGGCATCTGAAGGATGAGGAGGTAAAGTTGGTTATGATTCATTGGGCTAAAGATTTTGGGTATAATATTCAGCTGAATGATTGGGGGAAATTATGGAAGGAAGGTTTTGAAATTTACTGCATACAATGCTTTAAAAGAAAATGTGATGAAAATGATGTATAGATGGTATATTACACCCGTTAAATTGGCTAAAATGTATAAGGTAAGCAATAAATGTTGGAAATGTAAAGAAAAAGAAGGAACATTTTATCATATGTGGTGGGAATGTAAGAAGGTGAAAAACGTCTGGGAAATGATATATAATGAGATGAAAAAAATGCTGAAATATACATTTATTAAGAAACCAGAAGCATTTTTACTGGGCATTGTAGGAGATGATATAAACAGAAAAGATTGTAAGCTGTTTTTATATGCAATGACGGCAGCAAGAATATTATTGGCACAAAAATGGAAGCAAGAAGAATTACCGACGAAAGAAGATTGGCGGATGAAATTGATGGACTATGCAGAATTAGACAAGCTAACAGCAAGAATTCGAAACCAGAGGGGCCAGAGATTCACAGAAGATTGGTGTAAATTTACGGACTATTTGAAAAGTAATTGTGATGACCAGATTACATTTGTAGGTTTGCAAGAAGTTTTGTGAGGTGAATAATTTGAATTATTGCATAATTGGCTAAAAAGGGAGACATTAGTTAAGATAATTAAAGGCAATATGAATTTAAGAAATGCAGAAGAAATGATATAAATGGGGGATCATCAGAGGTGTTGATGGAAGTCCAAAAAGATTGTATAAGATGTGAAATTTTGTGGTATGTATGACAATTAATGTTCAAAAATGAATAAAAATTATATCTATCTATCTATCTATCTATCTATCTATCTATCTATCTATCTATATCTCCTGGATCACTCGCCATGGAATGCGTTGGGCGGAATTTCTGCCAGCAGTAAAAGATAGAGCCGCCGTGAAAGGCCCACCGGATGCCCTTGTCATTCAGCTGGGTGAAAATGATTTGGCCTACCGGAAGGGCGTGGACTCAATGTGGAACATTTTCGATGATTTTGATGATCTGAGGATTTATTTCCCAAATTTAGTCATAATTTGGTCATCACTGTTGGAAAGGCGCACTTGGAGGGACTGCCGATGCCCTATTGCTATGAACAAATCCAGAAAGATCCTGGAACGCTCAGTGGCGCATAGAGTGGCAGTGCTGGGGGGGCGGGTCATTGACCACCCCAACATCCAGTTCAGCAAGGTGACCCTCTACCGCGAGGATGGCATGCATCTTTCCAATGCAGGAAGCAATGTTTGGTTGGCTGACATATCTGCTGGGATTAGGGATTGGTTGCAGGTCTGAGGGTATTGGCTTTGAGTTTTGCTCTAGTGGCGGTTAGGCATTGGTATGGGTATTGTTATGTAGATGTATGGGAGGGAGCGCCATCACCTCCCCCGGATATTGAAGGCTAGTCCGGTAAAGGATTCCGGGGGGGTGGCCCCGTCCAAAGCCTATGGAGGCCAGGGCCCAAGGTACGTCCCCGAGCGGTGACCCCAGGGGAGTGCCTAGTTGATGTGCATCAGCAGGGCTCCCCCTGCTGGTGTTAACCCTTCCGGGTCTTCAAGCAAGCAGGCCAAAGCCGGATAGTCGGATAGGACCAATGCCTAAGCCAATACCGCTCATGTAACCAATAAAGTTGTGGGCAGAGGACTCCATTAAGTTTAAAACTGGAGATAAAGAGACCCCCGCCCCCTCCTTATACAGTGGTGCCTCGCAAGACGAAAAGAATCCGTTCCGCGAGTCTCTTCGTCTTGTGGTTTTTTCGTCTTGCGAAGCAAGCCCATTAGCGGTTTAGCGGATTAGCGCTATTAGCGGCTTAGCGGGCTTAGCGGATCAGCTGATAAGCGGCTTAGTGGCTTAACGGATCAGCTGTTAAGCGGCTTAGCGGATCAGCTGATAAGCAGCTTAGCGATCAGCTGTTAAGCGGCTTAGCGCCTTAGCGGATCAGCTGATAAGCGGCTTAGTGGCTTAAGGGATCAGCTGTTAAGCGACTTAGCGGATCAGCTGATAAGCGGCTTAGTGATCAGCTGTTAAGCGGCTTAGCGGCTTAGCGGATCAGCTGATAAGCGGCTTAGCGGCTTGGGAAAAAGGGGGGGAAAGGAAAAAAAACCCGCAGGAACTCGCAAGGCATTTTCGTCTTGCGAAGCAAGCCCATAGGAAATTCATTTTGCGAAGCACCTTCAAAACGGAAAACCCTTTTGTCTAGCGGGTTTTCCGTCTTGCGAGGCATTCGTCTTGCGAGGCACCACTGTAAAGAAATGGAAACTGGAAAACTGCTGGTTATTGGCAGAGCACAGGGGCGGAGGCAGCAGAAATAAAGAATATATAAAATACAGAGTGAGCTTTTAAGAGTGAAAGGGGACCAATTCCCATAGCACCAACAGTAACTGTTATTAAACTTCACAAAGGTGCCTTATAAGAGTGAATATAACCCAACAGAGAGTTTTAAAACAGCAAAGACAGACTGCTGAGAATGCTGAGACAGAGACTGCTTAAATAGCAGAGAAAGGGGGAAAACCAGCAGCTTCTACTTACATAAAGTTGCAGCTTTTAACCAGAGTCTTCAATTAAAACGAAATAAGGACAAAACACTCTGTGTCGGCTATGTGGGACGAAGGGGCTGTGAGGGGAAGGAGAAGGGTGAATGAGTCAGTGTGGAGGAGTCCCGCCATAACAGAAACAAAGGCAGGCACGAACAAAGTCAAGCAGGAAGGGAAGCTAAGGAGTCAGCCTGCACACATGAAAGGGGAAAACAAAAGAGAGAAAACAGAGTGTAGAAAAAACTAGAGGGACGCCTAGTGGCAAAAGAAGTGAAAGACGCGAGTAAAATCAACAGAAGACAATTAAGTATACTGGTAGCTCCACCTACTGGGCAAACTGGAAATAACAAGAATAAACTGATATAATAAAGAAATGAACACTGTTTGTATATATTAGCTAAATTTGAAAGAACGTGCAACCTAAAAAATCCAAATAACCCAAACAAAAGAAGATTCCTGGTCTTACTCAATATAAGAGCAATTAAAAAAGGAATATATTTTTTTTATTTTTTTAAGCGGAAATGGTAGTATAAAAAGTGAAGCAAGGGAAACTCCCAGAAATAAAAGATGTGCAGAGATCACATGAAACTGTTATTTTAAAAGAGGTATTGCTAGGTAGGCATCTCAATGGGATTGAAGACAACAATTGGCCTAGCCTCAGCTTCTAACCAAGCAAGGAGAACATCGATGGTGGAGAATGAGAGCAACATGGACGTTAAAGAGATATTATTGGCAATGGAAAGAATGGAGAAGAACCTAGGAGATAAGATAAGCACCCTAGATGGAAATATTAAAATCTTAGATGGAAAAGTGGAGAGTATGGGCACTAAGATTGAGAAAAATTCCACATTAATATTGGACCTTTCTAATCAAGTGAACCAACTGACAACAAAGAACAAAGAGCTGGACAAGATGGTGCAGGAGATAAAGAATAAGTCATTAAAACAAGAGGAAGCCATGAAAAAAAATCAGGCGGATCAAAGAGATTCAAGGAAAGTCGAAGAGAAAAACAAAGAGGAAACTGAGGAACTGATGAAGGTTCAGGAAGAGACCCTGAATGCAATTGCTGTCCTTGAGATGAAGCAAAAGGAGATGTTGTTGCGCTTCTGAGGAGTTAAAGAGAACCAGGAGGAAGAAATTTCAACAAAACTATTGAAAGAACTGGCGGATTGGTTAGGGGTCGAGGAAGATGAATTACTTTTGGACATTGAAAAAATATTTAGGATTAAGGTGAACAAGTCAAGAAACAAAAAGGGACCGAGAGATTGTTTAGTATTTCTGAACTCGAGGCTATTCAGGGAAAAAATCCTATTAAAGAATAGAACTGATCCCTTGTATAGAGGGCAAAGTAATCAAGAATATGAAGGAGATCCCAACCAGGTTGTTGAAGAGGAGTGATAATTCCAGATTCTTAACGACAGCGCTGAAGAAGAATAAAATTCTGTTTAGATGGGAATTTCCCGAAGGACTTTATGTAATTTATGTAAAACCAGCCCAAGAACTGATGAAGAATATAAACAATATTAAAATAGAAAAGTATAAAGAATTAAGTATAAAATTTATATTAAAATGATATAGAACTCCAGCACAAATGGCGCATATAGTGAAAAGGTTTAGTCCCAAATGCTGGCATTGTGGTCAGGAAAAAGGACTATATTCACACATGCGGTGAGAATGTAATCTGGTTAAGGAATTTTGGCAAAAGATTATAAAGGTAATTTCTGGATTATTTCAAATAAACATAGAAGTTAATAGGGATTTGTTATTTTCGGGAATACTGGGAAATAACAAAGTAAAAAGTAATAAGCAAGAGTTGTACAAGATTATGATTCTAGCTGGAATGGCAGTTATTGCTCTGGGATGGAAAGAAAAGGCCAAATGGAATATGGAAAAATGGAATGATTATGTTTTTGAATATGTACAATCAGAAATATTTGCACAGATAGTGGCAGAGGATAGATGGGAAAATAAATGCCAAAGAATCACAAATAAACGGGCATTTTACAGGAACTGGATAGAAAGGGGGGAAGCCAACCCTAACATACAAGCTCAAATGAACAGACTGTGTACATGGATAAAGTTATGAAGAAGGAAGGCCTGACCGGGGCGGGGAGGGCTGGAGTGGGGAGGGAGGGGAAAGGAAAAAAAAAAGTAAACCGGATGGTATTTTGAATTGATTTTGTTATGTAAGCCTTTTTTTAAGAAACCATATATATTAATGTTATGTAGTTAGGCACTGTAGTATGAATGAATTTTGTTCTGTATTCTTTGTTTTATAGAATATATATAATAATGTTATGTTACTAAGCAAATTTAATAAAACAGGGGAAAAAACGGGGGGGGGGGGACAAAACATGAGAATCAGACAGTTTTTCTGCCTGGAAGACATATCAAAGATAATATCAGGAGTATAGTAGATATTCTGGAAAAATTGGAAGCAAAAAAATTGTAAAGCAATGTTAATGTCTGAGGGTATTGGCTTTGAGTTTCGCTCTAGTGGCGGTTAGGCATTGGTATGGGTATTGTTATGTAGATGTATGGGGGGGAGCGCCATCACCTCCCCCGGATATTGAAGGCTAGTCCGGTAAAGGATTCCGGGGGGGGGGTGGCCCCGTCCAAAGCCTATGGAGGCCAGGACCCAAGGCACACCCCCAAGCGGTGACCCCGGGGGAGTGCCTAGTTGATGTGCATCAGCAGGGCTCCCCCTGCTGGTGTTAACCCTTCCGGATCTTCAAGCAAGGAGGCTGAAGCTGGATAGTCGGATAGGACCAATGCCTAAGCCAATAAAGCTGCAACAAATAAAGTTGCGGGCAATTTTACAAGTACTATTACAAATATTGTGTCGGAAGGAAAGTCTGTAGAGAACCCTGTGGACATAAGAAGATGCTTTCAGAAATATTATAAACAACTGTATAAAAAGGATAAAGAAGATAAAGCTAAAATTGAGCAATTTATCAGAATTAATGGTAAAAGGATCCTACTAAATGGTCTAATCACAAGACAGGAGGTGGAAAACGCAATAAATTTAATGCAACTTGGCAAGGCCCCGGGACCAGATGGTTTTTCAGCTAAATACTATAAGACATTGAAAGATTGGCTTATCCAGCCATTGTTAGAAGTTTGCAATAAGATTATAGGAGGGGACAAAGCACCCGAAACCTGGAAGGAAGCCTATATTACTCTGATTCCAAAACAAGATCAAGATAGATCATGTGGATTACAAAATCTTTGCCAATATATTGGCCAACAGGCTTAAGAAGGTCTTGTCAGAATATATACATGAGAACCAGACAGGTTTTCTGCCTGGAAGACATATCAAAGATAATATCAGGAATATAGTAGATATTATGGAAAAATTGGAAGCAAAAAAAACTGTAAAGCAATGTTAATGTTCACTGATGCGGAGAAGGCCTTTGACAATGTATCTTGGAATTTTATGACACAAAATTTAGAAAGTATTGGGGTGGGTCGGGAATTCTTAAATGGTATCAATGCGATTTATCATGAACAAAAAGCTAAAATTATAGTAAATAATGTGGTATAGGAGGAAATTAGAATTGAGAAGGGAACAAGGCAAGGGGGCCCACTTTCCCCTCTGCTTTTTATCTCGGTCCTTGAGGTCTTGTTAAGTATGATAAGGAAAGAAGAACAAATTAAAGGTATAGTAGTAGGATCCTAACAATATAAATTAAAAGCCTTTGCTGATGACTTGGTGTTGACGCTTCAAGATCCAGACTCCAGTGCAGTAAAAGCACTGGAGATTATACAGGAGTTCGGACAGGTAGCAGGATTTAAGTTAAATGAGAGCAAAACCAAAGTATTAGAGAAAAGTCTGGACAATGAGGAAAGGAAATTATTACAAAAAAAGACAGGCCTAGTCTTTGTGAAAAAAGTTAAATATCTGGGGATTAATTTGTCGGTGAAAAATTTGAATTTATACAAAGATAATTATGAGAAATTATGGAATGAAATCAAGAGAGATCTGGAGATTTGGTCGAATTTAAAATTGTCATTAATGGGCCGGATTTCTGTGGTTAAGATGGATGTATTGCCAAAGATGCTGTTTTTGTTTCAAGTCCTCCCAATTATTGAGAATGTGAAATGCTTTAAAGAATGGCAGAAATTTTTATCTAGATTTATCTGGTGGGGGGGAAACCCAGAATTAAGTATAAACTACTAACGGACTCAAAAGAAAGAGGGGGATTCTCCCTGCCAGATTTGAAGATTTACTTTGAAACCGCAGCTCTTTGTTGGGTTAAGGAATGGATACAACTCTGTCGAGGCCAGTTTGTGCCTGTCCAAAGTTTAAACTGGCCCAGACTGTTTGGAACAGGTCTAGGTCGGTTGGAACAGGAATATGTCTCTTGGAACCAGCCCAGACCTGTTGGAAACAGTTGATAACGGTTAGATCCGATCCAAGACGGTTGGAACCAGACCAAACGAGTTGAAAAAGTCCAGGCGGGTTCCAACTTGCCCAGACCGGTATGAACTGGCCCAGATTGGTTGGAACAGGGCCAAGCCGGTTGGAACAGGTTTATGTCACTTGGAACCAGCCCAGACCTGTTGGAACCAGGTCATACCGGTTGGATCCGCTACAAGCCGGTAGGAACCAGCCCAAACCAGTTTGAAAAAGTCCAGGCAGATTCCAACTTCCCCAGACCGGTTTGAAGTGGTTGGAACAGGTCTAGGCTGGTTTGAACCGGTCAAAGCTGAGTGCAACAGGTCCAGGCAGGTTAAAACCGGTCCAAGACAGTTTGAACCAGCTCAAACTAGTTGGAGAAAAGTCCAGGCAGGTTCCAACATGCCCAGACCAACTGGAACTGGCTCAGACTGGTTGGAACTGGTCTAGGCTGGTTTGAACCGGTCCAAGTTGGTTGAAACAGGTCCAAGCTGGTTGGAACCAGTCTAGGCCAGTTTGAACCGGTCTAGGCCGGTTTGTGCCTGTAAAAGCCAACATCCAGTTCAGCAAGGTGATCCTCTACCGCGAGGATGGCGTGCATCTTTCCAATGCAGGAAACAATGTTTGGTTGGCTGACATATCTGCTGGGATTAGGGATTGGTTGCAAGTCTGAGGGTATTGGCGGAGAGCTTTGCTCGAGTGGCGGTTAGGCATTGGTATGGGTATTGTTATGTAGATGTATGGGAGGGAGCGCCATCACCTCCCCCGGATATTGAAGGCTAGTCCGGTAAAGGATTCTGGGGGGGGGGGTGGCCCCATCCGAAGCCTATGGAGGCCAGGACCCAAGGTACGTCCCCGAGCGGTGACCCCAGGGGAGTGCCTAGTTGATGTGCATCAGCAGGGCTCCCCCTGCTGGTGTTAACCCTTCCGGGTCTTCAAGCAAGCAGGCTGAAGTTGGATAGTCGGATAGGACCAATGCCTAAGCCAATACCGCTCATCACCTGTAACCAATAAAGTTGCGGGCTATTTTAGCCCATTAACCTTAAAATAACGGTGTCATGTGTCTTTATTCCTACTGGTGGGAGGCGGGAAATTGCCACACAACCTGGCTTGGCCAATTCAGCTCACAATGCGTTCTCAGTCAGTTTGACACCATAGTCCCCTGAGAAAGCCCTTTTGAAATTTGCTATCATACAGCCTAGTGAAGTGATTGAATTACAAGCTGTTGAACACTCCCCCCGCATTGTTATGTCCCTTGTGAAGTGCTTCTCAACAGATTCTCAGAGATTCGCTTCCCTTTGTTCCCGATCAAAATGCAGTCGCCTGATTTGGAAATGCGGTACTGAAAGGTCCACATTCAGTGCCCCGGCGTCCTGTTACCATCAATTCTGTTGGTACCGGTTCAGACCGGTTGGAACTGGTCCAAGACAGTTTGAACCAGCTGAAACCAGTTGGGGAAAGTCCATGCAGGTTCCAACATGCCCAGACCAGTTTGAACTGGCCCAGACGGGTTGGAACTGGCTCAGACTGCTTGGAACAGGTCTAGACTGGTTTGAACCGGTCCAAGTCGGTTGAAACAGTTCCAAGCCGGTTGGAACCAGTTTAGGCCAGTATGAACCGGTCTAGGCAGGTTTGTGCTGATCCAAGCCGGTTTGAACTGGTCAAGGCAGGTTTGTACCGGTCTAGGCTGGTTTGAACCGGTCCAAGCCAGTTGGAATTGGTCTAGGCCAGTTTGAACCGGTCTAGGCCAGTTGGTGCCGGTCCAAGCCAGTTTGAACAGGTTCAGGCTGGTTTCTGCCGGTCTGAGACGCTTTGAAGATGTCTAGGCCAGTTGGAACACCTCTGTGCCACTTGGAAGCAGCCCAGACCTGCTGGGACCCGTTCATACTGGTTGGATCCGGTCCAAGCCAGTAGGAACCAGCCCAAAGCAGTTTGAAAAAGTCCAGGCGGATTCCAAGTTCCCAAGACCAGTTTGAATTGGCCCAGACTGCTTGGAACTGGCTCAGACTGGTTTGAACAGTTCCAAGAGCGAGACGGGTGTGCGTCTACCCACGCCGACGCATGCGCAGTTCTGCTTGCACTTGGCTTGCACCATACAATTGGTGGTAATTTCAATTCTGCCTATTTAGGCGTGAAAGCTATTTGAGCTTGAATTTTAGATAGAAAATCACATCCCAAAAGGGGAATGGGACATTCTGGTACATAAAGAAACTGATGAGTGAGGGACCTCCCTCCAGTCTGGCACTCTTGGGGTTGCAGAAAGGGTTTTAGGGTTTTATTGCCGGCTCAGACTGGTTGGAATAGGTCTAGGCTGGTTTGAACCGGTCCAAGCCGGGTGGTACAGGTCCAAAACCGGTTGGAACTGGTTCAGACCGGTTTGAACCGGTCCAAGCCAGTTTGAACCAGCTGAAACCGTTTGGGAAAAGTCCAGGCGGCCCAAGCTGGTTAGAACAGGTCCAAGCTGGTTAGAACAGGTCTAGGCCGGTTGGAAGCTGTTGAGACCGGTTGGAACCAGTCCAAGCTGGTCCAAGCCAGTTTGAACCGGTCTTGGCCGGTTTGAAATGGCCCAAGCCAGTTTGAGAAGTTCCAAGTGGGTTGGAACTGGCCCAGACAGGTTGGAGCAGGTCCAGACCACTTGGAGCAGGTGCAGGTCATTTGAAACTGAATTTGACCAGTTCAAACCAGCTTCGACCGGCACAAATCAGCTTGGACTGGTTCAAACCAGTCTAGACCTTTTCCAACCAGTCTGAGCTAGTTCCAACCAATCTGGGCAGTTCAAACTCATCTGCGCAAGTTGGAACCCGCCTGGACCTTTTCCAACTGGTTTGGGCTGGATCCAACTGGTATGAAATGATTCCAACTGGTCTGGGCTGGTTCCAAGCGATATTGACCTGTTCCAACCAGCCTGGACCTGTTCCAACCAGTTTGGGCCAGTTTCAAATGACCTGCACCTGTTCCAACTGGCCTGGACCTGCTCCAACCTGTCTGGGCCAGTTCCAACCCACTTGGAACTGTTCAAACCAGCCTAGGCCGGTTCAAACTGGCCTGGACCGGTTCCAACCAGTCTGGGCTAGTTCCAAGTGGTCTGTGCAAGTTGTAACCCACCTCGACCTTCCAAGTGACCTAGTCCTGTTCCAACCGGGACCTGCTTGAAGCTGTCTGGAACTGTGCAAACTGGCTTGGGCCAGTTCAAACCAGCCTAGACCTCAGACTGGTTGGAAAAGTTCTAGGCTGGTTTGAACCGATCCAAGTTGGTTGAAACAGGTCCACGCCAGTTAGAACCGGTCTTAGCCAGTTTGAACCGGTCTTGGCCCATTTGAGGCCGGTTTGAAATGGCCCAAGCCAGTTTGAGCAGTTCTAAGTGGGTTGGAACTGGCCCAGACAGGTTGGAGCAGGTCCAGGCCAGTTGGAGCAGGTGCAGGTCATTTGAAACTGGCCCAAGCTGGTTACAACAGGTCCAGGCCGGTTGGAACAGGACTATGTCACTTGGAACCAGCCCAGACCAGTTGGGACCAGTTCATACCAGTTGGGTCCGGTCCACACCGGTTGGAGCCAGCCCAAAGCAGTTGGAAAAGGTCGAGGCGGGTTCCAACTTGCACAGACCACTTGGAACTGGCCCAGACTGGTTGGAACAGGTCTAGGCTGGTTGGAACCAGTCCAAGTTGGTTGAAACAGGTCCAAGCCGGTTGGAACCAGTCCAGGCCAGTTTGAACTGGTCTAGGCCGGTTTGAACAGTTCCAAGTGGGTTGGAACTGGCCCAGACAGGTTGGAGCAGGTCCGGGCCAGCTGGAGCAGGTGCAGGTCATTTGAAACTGGCCCAAGCTGGTTACAACAGGTCCAGGCTGGTTGGAACAGGTCTATGTCACTTGGAACCAGCCCAGACCAGTTGGAATCATTTCATACCAGTTGGATCCAGCCCAAACTGGTTGGAAAAGGTCCAGGTGGGTTCCAACTTGCCCAGAGGAGTTTGAACTGGCCCAGACTGGTTGGAACTAGCTCAGACTGGTTGGAAGAGGTCTAGACTGGTTTGAACCAGTCCAAGCTGATTTGTGCCGGTCAAAGCCGGTTTGAACTGGTCTAGGCTGGTTTGAACCGGTCAAATACAGTTTCAAATGACCTGCACCTGCTCCAAGTGGTCTGGACCTGCTCCAACCTGTCTGGGCCAGTTCCAACCCACTTGGAACTTCTCAAACTGGCTTGGGCCATTTCAAACCGGCCAAGACCGGTTCAAACTGGCTTGGACCAGCTTGGACTGGTTCCAACTGGTCTCAACAGCTTCCAACCGGCCTAGACCTGTTCTAACCAGCTTGGGCCGCCTGGACTTTTCCCAAATGGTTTCAGCTGGTTCAAACTGGCTTGGACCGGTTCAAACCGGTCTGAACCAGTTCCAACCGGTTTTGGACCTGTACCACCCGACTTGGACCGGTTCAAACCAGCCTAGACCTATTCCAACCAGTCTGAGCCGGCAATAAAACCCTAAAACCCTTTCTGCAACCCCAAGAGTGCCAGACTGGAGGGAGGTCCCTCACTCATCAGTTTCTTTATGTACCAGAATGTCCCATTCCCCTTTTGGGATGTGATTTTCTATCTAAAATTCAAGCTCAAATAGCTTTCACGCCTAAATAGGCAGATTAATTAAATGGGAATTAAAGGATGTTTTTGAGAGGGGAAACCCCAATACCAAACCTACCTTCTTCTCCAACAGACATAAGACTTTCTCTTATATTGACTACGAGCTAATTAAAGAATGGAATGAAATCAGTGTTAGAACAGCAAAGACTATGGGAATATGGATTTCAGACCATGCTCCACTATTTGTGGAGCTGGGACTGGAAGAGGATGGAAAAAGTAGGAGATGGCGGTACAATAACCTAATAATGGCAAAAGAGATTGACAGGGAATATATTAGAAAACAAATTGGTTGGTATTTTAAAGAAAACAATAGTTCAGCCGAGATCCCGGTAGTATGGGACACTTTCAAAGCTGTTATAAGAGGACATTGTATACTGAAAGAGATTGCGATTAAGAAGGATTGGTACTCGGGGAGACAGGAAAAAATTAAAGAGATTGAAATCTTGCAACAACAGCAACAGGTTAAACTTCTAAGGAGAAGACAGGAGCAGTTAAGAAAGTTAAAACAGGAATTGGATGAGCTGGATATAGTTGGAAGAGAGATAATATGATCCAAAATGATTTTCAGAGAACCTCAATAGGATCATATAAGAGACTGGCAAACTATTTAAAGAAAAGAAGGGATAAACAGAGGGTGAAGGCCATTAAGACCAGAAGGAAAATACTTACACAAAGCTCTAGAGAAATAAGGAAAGAATTTGCAGAATTCTATCAATCTTTATATAAAGAAGAAAATAAAAACATAAGTAGGGAAAGTTTAGGGTTTAAAATCGAAGAAAGTGATAGATTAAGACTGAAGGAGGAATTTTCTCTGGAAGAAATAGAGAATGTAGTTAAATCATTTAAAAGTAAGAAATCCCCAGGATTAGATGGAATTACGGCAGACTTTTATAAAGAAACAATGGATATCCTGGGCTCAGAACTGAAAAAAGTATTTAATAATATCTTAGAAGGGGGGGAAGCCCCAGACACTTGGAAACTAGCGGAAATAGTAGTGATAGAAAAACCACAAAAGGACCCTACAGAGGTGGGGTCATACAGACCAATTAGCCTATTAAATCAAGACTATAAGATATTTACAAAGATCCTGGCAAGGCGACTGGAAAAGGTACTACCTAAAATAATTAAGGAAGATCAATATGGATTTGTTAAGGGAAGATACATAGGCCATCCTATAAGAAATGTGTTTTAATAAATACATTTAATAAATTTATTTTTATTTTTATTTTTTTATTGTTTTAATAAATACATTTATTAACAAGCAGGGTAAAAGGAAAATTGGTGGTCTTAAAATTGGATGTGTATAAGGCCTTTGACACAATTAGACATAAGTTCTAATGGAATATTATGCAGGAGGTAGGATTAGGAGAGAACTCTGTCGAAGCAATCCGGGAATTGTATAGAGAAGGGAAGGCTGTGGTCAGAGTGAATGAGGGGGTTTCAGATCAATTCAATATACAAATAGTAGTTTGTATATACCACTACTATTTGCATTGGGTATGGAGTACTTGGCAGACAGAATATGAAACTCAGTAAGGATAAAAGGATATAAGGAAGGAAAGGAAGAAATTAAGTTAAACATGTATGCAGCTGCTATCCTATTATTATTTACAAACCCCTTAGAGGGTGTAAGAGAATTTAGGATAATCCTGAAGGACTTTAAAGAGGAGTCGGGATTGGGAGTAAATTTGGAGAAGTCTGAAATTTTATTTTGGGATGTAAATAAAGAGGAGAAGGAAATTGCAAAAATGACAAAGATGGATATCAATAGGAAAAAAATTGAATACTTGGGGTAAATATTATTAAAAATAGTGCTAGGATTCCAGATGTAAATTACAAAGAAGCGTGGAGAAAGATCAAGAAGGATATAAAACCATGGAATAATAAGAATTTATTTATTCTAGGTAGGGTTAGAGCAGTTAAAATGTTTTTGGTACCGAAATTATTATATTTATTTCAAGTAATTACACTACCCATTAGGAAAATATGGTTCAAAACATGGAATAAGGTATTTTAAAATTGGATTTTTGGAAGTAAAAGAGTTAGAACCCCAGACATAGTAAATTATTCATCTCAAGAAGAGATGGGATGGGGAATACTGAACTTAGAATTTTACTATGAAACTTTCCAATTGAAAAATCTAATAGATATTGGATTTAAGGAAGGGATTAAATGGATAAGACTGGAGAATGACATAAATGAAGGAATAGGAAGAGAAGGGCTATTTAATAGAGATATTAACACGGCTTTTAAGAAGACAATAGGACCAAGGAAAACTGCGTTAGGAATCTGGAAGAACTGGAATACAAAATGGATGCCAACATACTCAAGGTGGATGCCGTTAAAATATATGCAGGAGGGTCAAAGGGAACCTGGTTGGTGGAAGAAATTAGAAGATCAGGGATTTTATAAATTAAAAGATATGTTTGATGAAGAGAGGAATTTTAATTACAAAAAAAGTTTTTTAAGAAAAAATAGGAAAACAATATTGGCTGAAAGTGCAAGGACTTTATGATTTAATAAAAATGGAAAGAGAAGATGAAACGATGAGGACACAAATGAAAATAGATATGGTGCTGAACAAAAGACAAATGACGAAGAAAGGGATAGTAGGGGTGTTATATGAACTGATGATAAGCGACAAAGAAAGAATGATAAGGATTATTCAGATTAAATGGGAGCAGGAAGGTATGATCCATCCAAACACGGCCTAAGAAATTGTGGCACTCACTAGGGCCCTACAGCTATCAACAGGCTGCTGTGCCAATATCTATACTGATTCAAAGTTTGCCTTCTTAACCTTGCATGCCCATGAAGCCCTATGGAAGGAGAACGGACTCGTTGGTATAAAGGGCAAAGCTCTTAAATACGACCCACAATTAGAAAATCTCTTGGAAGCTGTATGGGCACCCGAGAAAATTGTTGTAATGCACTGCCGGGGCCACAGCCGGGAGTCCACCAAAATGGCAAAGGGCAATAATTGCCAACAGTTATTAATATGCAGGAAATGAAGCCCATTTATACAGAGAGAGAAGCAAAATAGGCCCAACATGAAGGAAGAACCAGTTTACCTCCCCATAAAGGATGGTTCATATTGCCAGATCAGCGAGTTTTTGTCCCAGAAACCCTAGGCAGAGAAGTGGTGAAGCGGTACCACAAGTCCACTCATTATGCAGCCACAGCCTTGCGAGAAGGCCTAGGCAGGCAATTCTATATCGCCAGGCTATCTCAGCTGGCTGAGGCCGTGTCAAGAACGTGTCTCCTATGTGCCAAAAACAACCCCAAGCAGGGCCCAGTACTTCCTCCAGGAGTACAGCAGGCAGGCTTAATGCCAATGGAGAACATGATTGTGGAATTCACGGAAATGCCTAGGGCAAGAGGCTATCGTTATCTACTCGTCTTTGTGGATACTCTGACAGGGTGGGTTGAGGCGTATCTCACAAGGACTGAGACAGCCCAGGAAGTTGTTAAGCACCTCTTAACCGAGATCATCCCGAGATTTGGGCTACCAAGCAGTATAGGCAGTGATAATGGACCAGCCTTTTTCGCTTTGTTAGTGGAAGGTGTATGCAAAGCCCTGCAGATACAATGGAAACTGCACGCTGCCTACCGACCACAGAGTTCCGGCAAGACAGAAAGAATGAACTGGACTCTTAAATCACAGCTGGCCAAATTGTGCCAGGAAACTCATGGCAATTGGGTGGACTTTCTACCCGTAGCCTTGCTCAGGATCAGATGTGCACCCATCAAGAGGCTAAAGCTCTCTCCCTTTGAGCTTTTGTATGGAAGACCTCCTCCACTTACCACAGAAATAAGAGCAGACTTAGTGCAAACGGGAGGACAGAGTACATCAGTACAAATCCAGTCTCTCTCTTGTGTTTTGACTTCTCTTAACAGGTGGGCCCTTGAACGTACGCCAATCAGTCTGGCTGAACCCATACAGCCCTTACAGCCTGGAGATGACGTGTGGGTGAAGGAGTGGAAGAACAACCCGTTGGCTCCTAAGTGGCGTGGTCCATATGCCATCTTGCTTGCAATGCCTACCACGGTGAAAGTGGCCGAGGTGACCCCCTGGATTGATCATTCTCATCTGAAGCGGTCTGAGGATCATCGGAACTGTGAGCAGAATCCTTTGCACCCCCTGAAGTTGAAGATCACCAGGAACCCCTGCCCCTAGCCCCACCGGGAGTGGGTTAGGGCACGAGCCCCAGACACCCGGTCTGTTCTCACTGCACCGGAAGCCAGTGAGTCTACGCACACCTGAAGATTGAGGAACTGCACCGGCAGATGGGAGGATCTTTACCAGTTGAATTATCAGCCAGTCCTCAATTTGTGCCAGATTTAAATACAGACCCGCTGTACAGATAGTAGTAAGGAATGTGGATGGGCTAGGGAACATAATTGATAAGTGGGGAGAGTTGTTGGAGGATTACGGACGTCATATCCCCTTGTATTTTCATGATTGGTACATACCCGTTTAGGTAGAAGCATTACCAAGGCAGCTGTGGCATATACCCATATACCCTTAGAAGGGTTTCGGCCAAGACCAACCTATCATAGGAGGTAAATGCCCAGGGGAACCTAAAAGAACTGTAGTCAGGTTCTCTCACCCACCACCCCAAGGTGCACTTCCTCCCACCATACTGGTCACAGTAGCCTTCTTTCCTCCCTTCTTTCCTCCGCCCCCCCCACAAACCCTTTTTGAGTAGCAATAGCAGGGTGTATACAGTGTGAATTGACCACTCCAGTTCGACCAGAACCCGGGAACCACTAAGAGGCTCTACTGGGTGCGGCTGAATGGAGGGTTGGCTCACTCTCCAGGTATGCTCTGGTCTTGGTTACCTCCAGTTCTTCTTACAGTAATAATAACTGTTCTCCTTATCTTCTTTTACTACCCACGAGGAATTGTTGATATCCTTGGGCTCCTTGAACCCATGGAGTTCCTTGATCATGATGAAGTTGATGTTAACCCTGATGTGCATCTTGACCTTGAGGAGACCAATGACAAAAGAAAATGTTTTTGTAAAGAATGCTAAGCAGATGTTTCAAATATATGGAGAAAATGTCACCCTTTATTATGAACCCCCTAGAAAGGTAGCTGACATGTCCCTCATCCCAGGACTAATCAGGGACCCTGACATTGTCTTGGCAGGCCTACTGTATAATCAAAGTGGCCTTTTCGTGACACCTCCTTCTGAAATGAATGATACCTCCTACCGATATTTCAGGTTCTCCAGAACCACCCAGGGCTTGTGCTTTTGTTGTTATGCCTCTGGATCATGGAACGCCAAATGGAAAGATTGGTCGCATGTCCAGCACCACCAACATAAAGGTTGGCTGGGAAATTACACACAGTGCACTGCTATGTTTTGGTTGTGGGGTTCTTTCAACGCCTCTTACCAAAGCAACACCACATCCTCAGATCTGTATCCATACTTTCGCCAATATACAGTCAACTTCACCGGACAGGGATCCATCTGTTCTGGCTGGCTGATCAAGGACCCCAATCTTTGGTTCTTGTATAATGGACTAGCCACTAATTACCACCCTGGTAATTATCAGTGGGTGGGAATAGGTGCCTTTACTTTCCCCGTGACTGTGGAGGCTTTTCCTCCTCTACCCTCTCTTAGAAACAGAAAGAGGAGAGAAGTCCAAGGGGAACAGTGCAGTGATGAGATTTTCCTGGCCCGCTCTGTGGGTGCTGTTGGTGGAGGCTTCGTTAGCATCCTCACCATCGGCATACATCCGGGAGTTGTGGCTGAACAAAATCGTGAAGCACTATTTGCCCTAACATGCAGGTTGGAGAAAACCATCAATGCCACTACACATATCCTCCGACAGTTGCAATCTGAGATTGAGGATTTGAACCAGATAGCAGCAGCTAATAGACTTGCTCTTGACTATCTCCTCGCCAAATCAGGAGGTTTTTGTAAAATAGTCCCGGAAGGCAAATGCAGAGTGAAGTTTCATGACCTCAACAACACTACTGAGGACGAGTTGCCAAAATTACAGGCCCTTATAAATGATAACCATTGCTGCATCTGTCGATTCTTGAGCATATTTTGAATGGGTAACAGGTATTCCTTATATGTTTGCAACATACGCTTCTGATTTCTTATTGAATGGTTTTTTAAAAAAAATCTTAATGATTTCTTCATGAACTTTGTTCCAAAAGCTTTTTATCTCCTTACACCCCACCAAATATGGTACATTGTTCCTATCTCGGTGTTACATCTCCAGCACACATTGGTTTTTTGCTTACAGATTTTTGTCGATTCCTTGCGGCAGGGGTTAGGTACCATCGGTAGATCATTTTCATTAGATTCTCCCTTATTGTATAACATGCTGTGAAATTGATGTCAAATTTCCACAGCTAACATTATGTTGTGGCCAAAATCCTGTGCCCACTTTATCATAACGTCCTTTAGCATCTCATCCTTGAGTTCCCATTCCAAAAGTAGATCATACATCCTAGATAGGGTCTTTTTATTAGTTTGTACTAATTCCTTTTGTAAGAATGACTTCTTTTCTCCAAAACCAATTTTCTTATCCTGATTAAATATATGCACTATTTGGTGATATTGAATCCAGCCGTTACAATACTGTTTAATTTCTTCATACAATTTGATTATTAATTGGCCCTGTTCTACCTTTATTAATTGTTGGTAAGTTGCCCAATTTGTGTCCATGTTTGTCTTTTTTACCGCTATCATCTCCACTGGGGATACCCACCAGGGTTTTTTGGGCTCTAATAGTCTGTAGTACTTATCCCAGACCTTGTATAATGAAATTCTTACTATATGATTTTAAAAGTCCTTATGCACTGCCACTTTGTTGTATGTTAGGTAGGCGTGCCATCCAAACCTCGTATTCCAACCTTCTAATATATCAGCCTTCTTCAAGAAGGTGGGGTAGTTTTAAATGGTTGTTAAATGTGTTACGTTGATTTAGATTTTGTATTTGTGGGCTGGAGTGTTGTTTCAGGGCTTTTGTATTGTTTATTAGTGTGCATACATTAGTCTTGTGGCTCTTTTTAGTATGTTTTTATTATTTTAATTTATATTATGTTCTGATATTTTTATTATTAATTTTGTGCAGTGATTATTCTTATTATGTATTTTGTGCTTCATATACATGGTGTTGTGAACCACCCTGAGATTCAAAATCAATAAAATCAACAATCCAAAACAACATCAACAAGAAACACAACAACAACAAAAAGGTTTCCTACCGCTGTGTACGGAGGGTCGTGAGGGCAGCACCACTCCTCTTGGTCCATCCTGATGGCGTTGATGTTCCTGGCGCTGGTCCAGACTGGATCCCGCGGAGAGCAGAAGATGGTATCTCTGCAGCACAACTCTGATGTTACGTTGCCTTGGCCTGGCGCTACTGCAGATGTTCTGTCAGGAGGAGAAAGGGGCTCCTTGAGAAACGTCACCTCCAAACAGCCCACCAGATGTCCCAATAGCCCACCAGATGCCTCACTCACCTGGCATGCAGCTCAGGAAGTCCTGCGGGTAAGGTTCCCTGTGAACGCAGTGGAGCAGCCTCCTCAAAAAGCGCTGGACCCTGCCTTTCTTCCGATGTTTATAGGCCCGCTGCATGATGTTCAGGCAGCTCCTCCCTGTCTGCCTGAGCCCTTCTTCCTTGTGCTGCTGCATCTCTTCCAGCCCTGAGTGGCAAGGGAGAAAGGTTAAGCAAGGCGGAGATACACAGGAAAAGAGCCATCCATCAACAATATGAAAACAGCCGTCAGGTGTGTTTGTGTGTGAGAGAGAGCAGTGAAGTCATATTCCAATTCTCTTTGCATGTTCATCTTGTGGCACCTCTGTCTGAACATACATCTGAGAATTTGCCTTCCCCTGAAGACCTTTCTCAGCAGAAGCATCCCTCCCTGCCCTCCGTATGTCTCACTCACATGTTCCATAGGATGCCATGTCTTGATTGTGGATGAAACTGGCATCCCAGAAAGCCAGATGACCTAGAGAGAGAAATAGGCAAGAAAAGGGACGTCATCTCGATGCAAAGCAAGTGGAGACAGATGCAGCTCGGCAGGAGGACAGGTATGCTCTGCTGCGTCTAGAGGCCTCCACCCTCACGGAGCACTCAGAGCAAGATCTGGGCACAGATGGAGGCCTACCTAGCAGGTGGCCTGGGGACATGTCCATCCTCCCTGCCATCATTACCAAGACGTTTCTGTCCATCCCTACCAGGGAAGGACGTTGCTTGACTTACCCAGAAGCAGAGCTGCCACCCTGGAGACTGCTGGCAGCCTGTTGGCAGACGGCTTCGCACATGTTAAGGCAGCACTCCGAAGGATGTCCTTGCTGAAGGTCTTGCTCTGTCGGCAAAGACAAAGGAGAAGTGGCACCAGAGAGGCTTGAGAGCACGGCAGAAGAGCCTTGCACTCCCAAAGACGTGCCTGGGCAAAGCTGCCAACGAAGCAGAGGGACCTTACCAGATGCTTGGCAGCCTGGTGCAGAGCAAAGTGGAGGCTAAATTTGTTGGGATGAGCCCACCACTTGACTTGAGGGGCTAGATGGGAAAGAGCCCTCCTTGCAGCCTGCAACACAAGAAGAGAAGAGGGTTACAAATTGCGGTACATAGTCTCGGAAGCTCCTGAGAACAATCCCTCCCTCCTACTGTGTAAGTCCACCTCTTTGGCCCTCACCTTGGCCACCTCGTCCTCATCTTCGAGGTGAATGAGGACCACAACCAGTTCGTGAATGGCTTCTTCTTCTTCTGTTGTTGTTGTTATGGGAAGCCTTTGGTCTCTCACCCAGCCCCCAAGGAGCAGCCGCAGATGTTGGATGGCTGATGCCCGGACGGAGGCTTCCTCCTGTAGGCAGAAAATATCAGAGGTTGTATTTCTCATCAGATCAGTTTCCTTTCTCCTGCCCACTGGGGTGTTTTGAGGCTGCTCAGCCCCCTATCCTCCTCCTGGGGGAGACTGGGGGCAGGGGTGACTCTCCCCCTGTGTTTTCCAGGCAGGCTTCCAAGAGCAGGTGCTCCAGAGGAATACCCTCCTGAAGCCAGAACATCTCCGCTGCATGCCAGTCTAAACCCCACCCTTACTCTTCCAAAGCATTCCTCCTCCACCGGGTGTGATGTCATGTTTTCCCTAACACTCACATGGGCAGCCAGACCACAGTAGGTTGCCGCCAGCATCTTCAGGTCTTCCTCTCCCAGCTCCCTGGAATGGTAGGCTTGGTCTACTAGCTCTATCAACTCTGGGAGGACATCAGCTTCTGCAGAAGGGAGGGAATCCAGCAGCAACAGCCGCAGAAGCGAAGGGTCCTACACAAAAGAGAGAATCTTTTCAAAGGTCTGAAAGGCCCTTCAGTATTGTGCCAGCAAAAGAGTGCTGGACCATGATTAGAATCGAGATCTGTACCCCCCCTCCCCCCTCCCTCTGAGCATCACTTGCCATGTCAGAGTCCAGAAGCAGGGATATCCCTCTGACGCTGAGCTTCTGGACTTGCAGGTGGTCGTGTGCCAGCCAGTTGAGGAGCTGCTCCAGTGTATCTTCACAGGGATAGACCTCCAGACGACAGCTGAGCAGCTAAAGAGGCCCAAAGAGAAAGAAACTCTTCAGGGATGAGAGGCTGAGGCAGGTTCTCCTTTTACCCACCATTTGCAATTCTGCACAGAGCAAACCCACTGAAGTGAATGTATCAAAGTTTGTCATGTACATCAAATCCAATGGGTCTACTCTGAGGAGCACTAAAACAGGCAACAGTCCTTAGGCTCAAAGTAGCCCAACACTCGGCAGAAACCAAGCCAGGACCTCCTTGCTGCACCCATTTCCTCCCGCGTCAGTCCCCCTCACCTCGATGTAGATAGCTGCCGCGACTTGTGGCACTCCGGCAAACTCCTGGTCCTCGAGAGCAGCGATGATATTTTCCACCATGGGAGGGATCCACCAGCGTCGCTTACCGACAGCTCTGAAATGGAGAAACAGATCTTGGTAAGGAAGGGAAAGACACCGCAGGAAGCAAACAGGGGCACAGTCCGATCCCGTGCCTTCAGCTCCGTTTGCCAGACCATTGGGGAAGGTCATCGCGTTCTTCCTCTTACCTCACCATGGCAGACAACCCCTGGCTGAAATTCTCCCGGCAGAAAAGTTGGTCAACGATGGCCGCCTCCACTTGCTCTCCAGTGGTGCCAAGAAGGAGGTGCAGAACTTCCTTAGCCCCTCTGGAACCAAAGCAAGACCATGTTCACCAGGAGGGTCATTGTCACACACTCAAATTCTTTCCCCATCCTTCCTCCCTAGCAGCCGCCTGAAGGAGAGCCTCCCTTGGAAAACCAAGCTGGACTGGAAACCCCCCGAGGTTGAAGGGGAAAGGACTCCATTGGTCCCCTTGCAACACACTACTCACCCGAGGAATTCCTGGTCATAGTGGAAGTTCATAACCATCCCCAGGAGAGCGATCAGCAGCTCTGGGAAGTTCCGGCGCACAGCTGCCTTGTAGTCCTCCATCCTGAGGATGGCGTGCAACAGGCTGGTGAGATGTTGCTGGAAGAGAGAGGGGTGCAAGTCACTTTCTCTGCTTTTCTGCAGAATACAGGAACCCCTCAACATTACCCTGGGAAGAAGGAAGCCAGAAAGCAGGTGGTTGGTCCTTACCACTTGGGTGGCAGATTCTGCCAAGGGGCTTTGGTAAATCTGCTCGGCCATGAGATGGATCAGTTGTTCTGGATCGGCCGATGCTAAAACCTCCTTCCATACTCTCTCGCAGTCTCTGTGAATGCAAAAACAAAAGCAATGGTCAGATTCAAGTCTCCTGCTTGCTGCCATGCTCCAGAGAGAGGAAATGGCAGCAAGGGCTTTCTGAGCAAGCCCTGCAGCTTGCCGACCTTCCCCTTATCCCAGTAGAACCTGGAGGGCTCCATACCCGAAGGGAAACTGGAGGAGATATTCAACCACTGTCGCCAGGTGGTGGTGCGACAAGATGGACAAAGCGAAGATGGCCATGCTTCTGCCTTGCACTGTAGGCCCCTGGCTGATCTTATAGAAGGCCTCCAGCAGCACCTTCACCTGTCAGAGAAAAGGAGAGGGTTGCTTGGAGAGTACAAGGAAGCGGGGCTGTCTGCAGGCGGATCCCTCCATCCCTCATTGAAAGAGGGACCCTTGACCTGTGCCACCACAGCCATCTTCCTTCCAAGGTACCACTCAGGGTCCTTGGAAGTATTGAACCGGGGCAGCTCCAGGGCACCAGTTCCCCTATCCATTGTGGGCCAAGAAAAGAAGTTTGCCAGTCTGCTCCCAGAAGGAGGAGGATTCCCCATCCCTGAACCCATGTTTCTCAGGACCCTTGGCTGAGGTTCTTGTCCTGACATTGCCAGGCCCCTCTCAACTAACATGTGCCCTGGCCACCCAATGGCATGAGGTTGCCTCCCCTACACCAAAGCGGAGAATCTTCTCTCCTACCTTTGCAGACGCCTTACCTCCACTTTTGTGCCGCCAAACTGCTTGATGAATTCTTGCAGTAAGTGGGAGATATCCAACGGGTTGAAGCTGCTCTCGACAACCAGGTCTCTGGCCAGGAAGCACATGGCCTCCAAGAGCTGCTCCGCAGGGAGAAAGGCGCCAAAGACCTGAAGCAAGAGAGGAAGGTCAGAGATGCCCACAGGGCAGGGCTGGGGAGCAGAAAGCCCAGGTGCTGCCTCTGCGGAACCCAGAACATGTGGCTTGAGAGACAGCGACTTACCCTGGCAAGAGAGTAACAGTTATTCACGAACAATTCAGGAACCGGTCCTCCGGTGGATTTGAGGACCTTCTCAGCTCTGATGATGAGCGTTTGGTTCCATGATGTTCGTGCTAGCATCTCTGCAAAGGAAAGCCAAAGGGTTAGTTTGGGTCTTGCTCACCCCACCCCATGCTGGGATGCATTCTTCCAGTCTTACCTTCGTTGCGCCGCAGGATGGGCAGAAGATGGCAGAGGGCCTCTGCTGCCCGCTGCCTGCTCTCCGGGTCTGGATCCAACGCACAAAGACAGGAAATCGCCACCAGTTGGCCAAGGGAGGATGCAGAAAGCGCTACCGATGGCTGAGAAGAAACCAAGAGAAGTGACTGATAAGAGAAGCAACCCATCACCATTTTCCCCATAACATTTTAATTAAATCTTCCAAACATTCCAAAACATTTTGCATCCTATGCAGAAAAAAACCATTTCTTCTTGACTTCCCACCCCTCTTTTCCTGATGTTCGCTTTTTACTTCTTTTCTCAGCTGTTTTACTCACTGGGATTCGTTCTGCTATGGCCCAGCTCTGTTCTCAATTTTTGATAAGTGCTGGGATGCCTGATTGTCCCTTGGGCACCTTGCAGGGTGGGCCTAGAAGCAGCAGCCTGAAGGCCTTGACAGCCCTGCATGATTGCAATTCTTCCCTTCAGAAACTCACATATTCCTGGATCTTCTGCAGGAAGGCGGAAAGATCTCGGAGCGCCTTCCTTCGGATCTTCCCACTCTTCATCGTTGCGACGACATCCGTAAGTTTGGTCTTCAGCTGGTCCCTGCTGCCGCTTTCAGGAGGAAGATCAGCCGCATCCGGAGAAGCTGTGGTTGGGATGCTGAGGGGAGAGAGGAGTAGCACTTTTGTAAAATGTTTTTATTGCCTCCCATCCTTCAAAGACCCCAAGCACCACCACCATAGAAATGGACCGGGGGGGGGTTGGGTTTTTTTGTTTTGTTTTAAATAAATTTTATTAGTATTTTCCACACAACAACAACAACAACACGAAAGATATCTAAAAATAACAATACACAACACACAAAAATCAACATTCGAAAACTAAAGAAGGCAACAACAAAAAACCAAATAAAATTTTAAAAAAACCACTTCCGGAGGTGGCACCAACGGTAATGGCGGATTCCCTCTGATTCGGAGGGAACCCGCTCCACAGAAATAGGGTCTGATACCGCTTCGGCGCAGCGGGGACCCCTTAAATCACAGGCGGGGGAAGCCTGTGACCCTGGGACTCGGCGGGCACTGTCTGCGCCCCCCCAATCTGCAAAGGAACCCGGCAACGGGCTCCGGAACAGAGCGGGGAAGTGGCGCTGTGCTGTGAGTCGTCTGCTTCTTCTGTGGAGTGAAGCCGCGTAGCTGTTGCCGGAGAGCGCTGCCTTTTTTCCTTGACAATTTGGCTCCGAAAACAATGATCCGTGAGTAGGATAACTTCGAAATTAAAGGAACTGTACAAAAATTGGAAGTAATTGGCCGAAGCGGAGAGGTATAAAAAGGAAGTCTGCCTCCCGCTCTTGTAAATAGAACAAAGCACTGAACTTGAAAGCGGAAGCTTTAAAGGACGCGCAAAAGGATTACAATCCGATCATCTAACCGTGAGTTTCCCCCCTCAATTTGGGGGAGGAGGGGGGGAAGCCTTGAACGTTATTTCCCTAAGAAAAAGAGAGGAAGAGGAGACAAAAACCACCGCTCAAAACCCCTGGAACGGGTCCCCAGTGTCAGTAAGAAGCCTAAGAGAATGTACTGTCTTTGAACATATTTTGACAGCTAGCTCTGCATCTGAAATACAACTTGGTTACAATATTGCTGATAGGTATCTCCTGGTCTTAAAGTAACAGCCTAAGATAGATTGTTATCTTTCTGGTCTATTGGGGGACTAAAGGGAGAAGTAAATTACTTTAAGAACTTTATGACTGTTACAGTGTCCCCCTAGTGGAATTTGGAACTAGTTACAACTGCAGCTGGCCTGAGGAAATCTCCCACAACAATTTCCTGGGAACTTTCCGTTCCAAAACAACTTTGACTCTGACTGTGTGACTGACCTTGAGTTTTATCTAGAGGGTTATGGCAGATGGGAAAGAGAAGATAGACTTGTTACAAGCAACAAGGTCTGGCAGAGTATTTCGCACAGACGGTGGATTGCAAAGGAGGGCCTCGACATCTGGCCCCTCCAGAGTTCCAACAGCAACCTCATCGGCACAACCTAGAACTAAAGGTATGGCAAGTGACGATGCCCTGGCTCAGGCACTGGCTAAAATTAATGAATCTTTGGATAGAATAAGTAAACAAGTAGCCAAGGCATCGGATAAGATTGATCAAAATACGACAAGTATTAACCAAAATACGGCAAGTATCAATAATTTGGGACAGAAAGTAAATACTAACACAGAAACTATTCAGAAATTATTACAGGAATCTGCTTCGACACGTAAGATTGCCGAAGAGGCTAAAGAAATTGCTACAGCTACTGTTACAGTGGTTCAAGAGAAGATACCACCGCTACATAAACAACTTGAAGACCATAAGTCAATCCTGTCTATGATCGAGTTGAAGGAGAAACAAGTGAACTTAAGGGTCAGGGCTGTACCTGAAGTGGAGAAAGACAACTTAGTTGAATTTCTTACGCAGGAATTCCTAGATTTTTGGAACCCAGATTTGGGCAAAGATAGTTTTAAAATAGTGAGTGCTTTTAGATTTGGAAAAGGAGGGAGAAAGAACAGGGTGAGAGACTGTTTGATCACCCTCCGAACAAAAGAAGAGAGAGACAAGATTTTGAGTTTGCATTTCCAGAAGACTTTGGAAATACAACAGTCAAAAGTGGAGATATTCAAGGATATTCCGAAACATCTTCTGGATCTCAGGTTTAACTACAAAGACCTGGTTACCCTGTTGAGAAGTAACGGAATTATCTTTAGGTGGGAATTTCCTCAAGGCCTATCCTTTAGTTACAAAGGAAAGAAGATAAAAATAAGATCAGAAGACGACAAAGACAAATTTTGGAGAGACCACGGAGAAGACCTACAGAAGAAAGTTACAGGAGAGTTAAGAGCAATTGTAAGAGAAACTTTAGACACACCAGGACTATCTCTGGAACTAAAAGACCGCCTGAGAAACGTGATACCACCGACGGAACAGGAACAGGCACTGGGTGCCGTTGGAGGAGAAGCAAAATAATTACATCATGGCCCTGCAACTATTAAGTTGGAATTGTAATGGTTTGAACTCTCCCCAGAGAATGAAATCTGTGTTTCATTTATTAAAAAAGGAACAATTGGACTTGATTTGCCTACAAGAAACACATATAACAAGGTTACACAGGAAACTATTGATTTAAAAGACTTGGTCAGGAGTTTATTTCATCGGATAAAGTAAAAAAAAGAGGAGTTGTGATTTACGCAAAGGACAGACTATCACCGAAATTTATTTTTAAAGATGACCAAGGAAGATTTGTGGCAATTGAAATTCAAACACAAGGAGAAAAATTTTTGATAGTAGGGATTTATGCACCAAACGAGGGGAAATCTGACTTTTTTAAGAAGTTGCATGAGACTCTGATGGACTATCTAGATTATAACATGATTTTGATGGGAGATATGAATGGAGTGGTATTGTGATGGGATGATGAGCTGCTTGTGCGTAAAATCGTATCCCCTCAGAGTTTGTTCAAGTCCACAAACCTCTGTCTGTGACGGAGCCCCTCAGACATGGCTACTCTAGTCACTAGCAGATTCCGACAGTGGTTGCTTTCGTAATCGCTTCCAACATAAAAGCTCCTTAACGGAAACGCGTCTTCTGGAATCTCTGCGTGACAGTTTCCGGCGAGGAGTGGGTGTTCTTACAGGAGGTCCTGAAACCTCCCCACTGTTTTCGCTGGAAGTGTCTCTGAGCCATCCCTCCAGCTCAGCTCCCCCCCCCGTGCTGGTTCCCTCTTCAGCTGCTGCGTCTCTCCCAACCTGTGTGAGCCCTTTCACCTCCCTTCCGGTTCCCTCTTCAGCTGCTGCGTCTCTCCCAACCTGTGTGAGCCCTTTCACCTCCCTTCCGGTTCCCTCTTCAGCTGCTGCGTCTCTCCCAACCTGTGTGAGCCCTTTCACCTCCCTTCCGTCCGATGGCAGTTCCCTGACATCCACCTCCCCTCCAGGGCCCCCTTCATCCCCTCTCGCCCCCTCCTCTACGGGCGGTGAGGAGGCAAAACCCCGGAATGAACTTCCTTCATCTTCCGATGTCTCGAACACTTCTCTCAACCTGTTGCGGTTCCTGGTCTCGAAGTACACCTCCTCCTCAGAGTCCATCTCCCCTTCCCCTTCCGAGTCCGGGAATCCTTCCAACTCCTCCCCTTCATCAGTGGTCCCAAAGTATTCCCTCCGGAACCTCTCCACAGGCTGAGGTTTCCTTGGGAACCTTTGATGGAACGTTTCTATCAATACCTCGTCATTGATATCTTCAGCCATTACCCAAGTGTTTTCTGACTCCGGTTCTCCTTCCCACGCTACCAAATACTCCACCTGATCCCCCTTCCACCTGGCGTCGAGGATTTCTGCCACATGGCTGCTGCATTCTCTTTCTTCTACGACCGGTCCCCGAGTGGCCAGCCCTTCTCGTCCCCCTTCGTACGGTGACAGTAACGACCTGTGAAATACTGGGTGCAGTTTCATGTGGTTGGGTAACCGGAGCCTGAAAGCCACTGGGTTGACCTGTTGAATGACCTCAAAGGGACCCAACCTCCTGGGTCTTAATTTCTTACAACCTCCTTTGAACGGCAACCCTTGGGTTGACAGCCACACCCTATCTCCCACCCTTATGGTTTCACCTTCCCTTCGGTTCTTGTCTGCCTGCCTCTTGTATTCTTCCTTCGCCCTTTCTAAGTTGAGTTGGAGCTGACGATGGATTGCTTCCATTTCTTCCACAAAATGCTCGGCTGCCGGGACGCTCCATCTCTCCCCTCTCCCCCTGGGAAAGCCCTGGGATGACACCCATAATTAGCCAAGAAGGGGCTCATCCCTGTGGACACATTCTCGGCATTGTTGTAGGCAAATTCCGCCAGCGCCAACTTTTCTACCCAGTCATTCTCTCTGTCATTGACATAACACCTCAGGTATTGCTGGAGGACACCGTTTGCTCTTTCCGCCTGCCCGTTGGTTTCAGGGTGCCGGGCAGTCGAAAAATTGACCTCCACCTGCAGTAAGCTCATGAGCTTCCTCCAGAACCTGGAAGTAAATTGTTTTCCTCGGTCTGAGACCACCCTCAATGGCACCCCGTGCAACCTAAAAATGTTTTCTACAAATAACTTCGCTGTCTCTTCCGCCGTGACTGCATGCGAGCAAGCTACAAAGTGGCACATCTTTGTTAGTAGGTCTACCACCACCATGATGGCTGTTTTCCCTTTGGACTTCGGCAGATCAGTCATAAAATCTATCGACACTGCCTCCCAAGGTCGTTCTGGGGTTGGTAAGGGTTCTAATAGCCCCGCCGGCGCCCGCCTTTCCCCTTTGGCTCGCTGGCATTGCTCGCACCCTCTTACATACTCACGTACATCTTCCCTCACCTTAGGCCACCAAAATTCCCTGGTGACCAACCACATGGTTTTGTGTTGTCCAAAATGCCCCGCCGTAGGGCTGTCGTGCAACTGCTTGAGTACCCTCCCCTTAACTCTCCTTCAGGGATATACAGTGCCCCTTTGTAATACAAAGCTCCATTTCTTTCCTCGAAACCCCTGGTTCCTCTCCATCACCCCTAAGACCTCTGAGCTTATTCTGGGCGTATTCATCATTCTCTGTTTCCTCTACCAGTTCTCTTTGTCCCACCAATGCCGCCCCACACACCCAGCGGTCCTCTGGAATGACATGTCTCTCTTCGGGTGCCCCCTCCCCTTCCAAATATTCAGGTTTGCGTGAGAGAGCGTCCGCCCTAATGTTCTCTGGGCCTGGCACGTAACTAATCTCAAAGTTAAATTTGGAGAACTCCTGGGCCCATCTCACTTGCCGTTGGTTGAGCACTCGTGCCGTCCTCCAATACTCTAGGTTCTTGTGGTCAGTGCACACTTGCACCTTATGTTGTGCGCCAATTAGCAGGTGCCTCCATCTCCGGAACGCCTCATGAATGGCTAGTAGTTCTCGGTCATACACCGTGTAGTTCCTCTCGGATTTGTTCAGCTTTCGCGAAAAAAGGCACACGGTCTCCACTCTGACCCCTTCTTGCCTGGCTGCAGAAGCACCGCCCCAATCGCTCTGTCTGATGCGTCAGTTTCCACTCTCATCGGTTTTTGTAAATCCACATGCAGGAGTTGTTGTTCCGAGGCGAAGGCCCTTTTAGTTCCTCAAATGCTCGCTCCGCCTCCTCAGTCCACACGAACTTCTTCTTACTGCTGAGACAGTCCGTAATGGGCGCCGTCAGGTGGGCAAAGTTTCGGATGAACTTACGATAGAAGTTCCCAAATCCTAGGAACCTCTGCACATCCTTCTTTGTTTTGGGTGTTTTCCATTCCAGCACCGCCTGGACCTTGCCGGGATCCATGGCCAATCCCTTGTCTGACAGGCGATACCCCAGGAATTCCACCTCCTTGGTATGAAACTGACACTTCTCCAGTTTCACCCACAGCTGGTTGGCTTGCAGCCTGCTCAACACTTCTCTGACGTCTCTCACATGCTGCTCCTCATTCTCAGAATACACCAACACGTCGTCTAAAAGGCCACACAATTCTTGTAAAGCAAAGGCCCCAGGACGTGGTTCATAAACGATTGAAATGTTGCGGAGCCTGCTTGTAGGCCGAAGGGCATAACCAAATATTCAAATGCCCCTAAAGGGGTGAACATAGTGGTTTTCCATTCATCCCCTTCCTTATTCGTACCAGGTTGTACGCCCCCCTTAGGTCCAGCTTTGTGAAAATCTTTCCCTTCCGCACCCTTGTCAAAATGTCGTCAATCCTGGGCATAGGGAAGGCTACTGGTTCTGACACTGCATTTAAGGCCCTGAAGTCACACACCAGCCTCGGCTTGTTCGTGTTTTTCTTATCCACAAAAAACACTGGGCTGCCCCCCACCGCCCTGGACTCTCTGATGAACCCTCTCTTCAGGTTCTTGTCAATGAACTCTCTTAACTCCTGCATCTCTCTGTCTGACATGGCGTACAGCTTGCCTACAGGGAGCTGTGCTCCAGGGAGTAAGTTGATTTGACAGTCAAAGGGTCTATGCGGGGGTAGTTGGTCAGCTTCCCTTTCGCTGAAGACGTCACGGAGATCTGCATATTGTCGTGGTACCTTCACGTTCTCTGTTACTTCAGTCCCTGCTAGGGTGGCTTGGACCCCTGCCAAACCCTTTCCCTCTTTGCAGTGTTCTAAGCAATGTGCTGAACCAAAAGAAACCACTCTCTGATGCCAGCCCACCAGCGGATCATGTAACGCTAGCCAGCTCATCCCCAATATAATGGGAGCTCCTCCCAAGGTGGCCACATTAAAAGCTATCAGTTCGGTGTGCCTTGCTACCTTCATTATCATTGGGACGGTCTGCAAGCTGACTTCTCCACCCAACAGCTCCCTGCCATCGATCGTGGTCACCTGCAGGGGGCTGCTTAAAGGGATTGTCTGTATCTGGTGTTCAGCTGCAAACTCTTTGCTCATGAAATTGCAGGAGCTGCCTGAGTCCAACAGCGCCTTTATCTTTAGAGGGTGTCCGTTTGGCAGCTCTAGCGTCACTTCTATCACTAGGGCGGGTTTAGGAGGTTCTGGCGTGGGCACTCTCTTTTTTTTTTTTTTTTTTTTTTTAAAGCAATTTATTGGATTTTACAATAGGAATAAATGTAATAAACAATATAACATTCGTCTTAACATAATTTCACATTTTCTTTGGACTTCCTCACATCTCCCGCTCCCACCTTCATCATTATAACATTTTGTCAGCAATTTATCATCTTATTTAAGTTCTTATATCTCTTCGATATTTCATAATCTTAAAGTTCTCATAAAGAGTTAAACTTTCACAGTTTTTCTTATTTTCTTAAAAACTTCTAAGTTAAGTGGTGCTCAGTTATTTAGTCTAGCATCTTATTCAGCATTCAGTCAAATCACAATGCTTTTGTAAATAGTTCTTAAATTTCTTCCAATCCTCCTCGATTCTCTCTTCTCCCAGGTCACGGATTCTGCCAGTCATTTCAGCCAGTTGCATATAGTCTATCAGTTGCATCTGCCATTCTTCCAGTGTGGGTAGATCTTGAGTTTTCCAATGTTTTGCGAGTAGTATCCTTGCTGCTGTTGTTGCATACATAAAAATGTCTGGTCCTTCTTTGCCACCCCTTGGCTGACAATACCCAAAAGGAAAGCCTCTGGTTTCTTAGTGAAAGTATATTTAAATACCTTTTTCAATTCATTATAAATCATTTCCCAGAACGCCTTCACTTTAGGGCAGGTCCACCAGAGGTGAAAGAACGTTCCTTCACACTCTTTACATTTCCAGCACTTGTTATCAGACAGGTGGTAAATTTTTGCGAGTTTGACTGGGGTCATATACCATCTATAAATCATTTTCATTACATTTTCTTTCAAAGCATTACATGCAGTAAATTTCAATCCATTACTCCACAGCCTTTCCCAGTCCTCAAACATAATGTTATGCCCAATATCCTGTGCCCACCTTATCATAGCCGATTTAACCATTTCATCTTGTGTATTCCATTCCAACAGCAAGTTATACATCCTTGAAAGTATCTTAGTCTTTGGTTCTAACAATTCTGTTTCTAATTTCGATTTCTCCACCTGGAACCCTAGTTTCTTATCATTTTTAAAAACTTCTTTAATCTGAGCATAATGTAACCAATCTCGCACTTTGTCTTTCATTTTCCCCAAACTCTGCAATTTCCAATTGTCTCCATCTTTTCTAGTATTTCCCAATATTTTGGCCATTTGGCCTCCATATTGGGTCTTTTTCGGGCCTTAGCTTCCAAAGGTGAAAGCCACCTTGGTGTTTTATTTTCCAGCAAGTCTTTATATTTTGTCCAGACATTAAACAGTGATTTTCTAACAATATGGTTCTTAAAGGCCTTATTTGCTTTAACTTTGTCATACCATAAATATGCATGCCATCCAAAAACATTGTTAAACCCTTCCAAATCCAACACATCAGTGTCTTCAAGAAGTAGCCAATCTTTTAGCCAGCAGAACGCTGCGGCTTCGTAATACAACTTTAAGTCCGGCAGGGCAAAGCCCCTCTTTGTTTTGCATCAGTTAGTATCTTAAACTTAATTCTGGGCTTTTTGCCCTGCCAGACAAACTTCGAAATGTCTCTCTGCCACTTCTGAAAGCACTCCATTTTGTCCAAAACCTGAAGTGTTTGAAATAAAAACAACATTCTTGGCAATACATTCATCTTAATCGCAGCAATTCGGCCTAACAAAGAAAGTTTCAATTTTGACCAACTGTCTAAGTCTCTCTTAATTTCTGTCCAACATTTTTCATAGTTATCCTTAAATAGACTTAGATTTTTGCTGTTATGTTTACCCCTAGGTATTTTACTTTTTAACCACATTAAGTTCCGTCTCATTCTGAAACCGTTCTGACTCTGTCTCAGTCAAATTTTTTCCCAAAACCTTGGTTTTCTGTTTATTTAATTTAAATCCCGCCACCCGACCAAAGTCATTAATCAATTGTAATACTCTTTTCGTACTAGGCTCTGGCTTCTGCAAGGTCAAAACCAGGTCATCTGCAAAAGCTTTTAGTTTGTATTGTTTCTGACCAACACATATGGACAAGGCACAAAGACAGGTAGTCACCAAGGATGGTAGACTACCGAAAACCTTTTTTGAGATGACAGACAACTTGGACTTAGTTGATATTTGGAGAACAAGAAACCCCATGGCTAAAGAGGGAACCTTCTTTTCTGAAGCCAAAATGACATGGACAAGAATTGACCAAATATGGGTAACTAGAGGAATGGCACCAAAGACAAGAAAGGTGGAAATCTGCCCGAAAACTTGTTCTGACCATAATGCTGTCAAGATGGAAATGAAACTAATACCAACTGGCTCCTTCAGATGGAGGATGAATGACACCTTATTTAGAGATGAAGAAGTGTTAAAGAAGGCCCAAAAAACCTTGAGAGATTATTTTGAGATAAATATGAATACCAACGTGGAAAAAAGAGTAATCTGGGACGCAAGTAAAGCGGTTATGAGAGGGTTCTTGATACAACAGAATGCAGTAAAGAAGAGAATTCAAAATCAGAAGAAGGATAAAATATTGGAGAAAATAAAGGAAAGTGAAAAAAGATTGAGAACAAATCCAAAATCCCAAGAGATTCTGAGAGAATTAAAGCTATACCAAGTACAATACATGAAAATGACGAATCAGGAAATAGAATGGAAAATTAAACAAATGAGACAAAAGACATTCGAGTCGGCTAACAAATGTGGGAAACTGTTGGCTTGGCAAATGAAAAAAAGACAAAAATTAAATACAGTTACGAATCTAGAAGTGGAAGGAAGGAATATACAGAACCCAGCTGAGATTAGAAATTGTTTCCAGAGGTACTTTAAACAACTATATACACAAGGGCCACTGAAAGAAACTGATCTAGATCAATTTTTGAAAACAAATGGATTACAAAAAATCTCTCAAGAAAATAAATTAATGTTGAACTATAAAATAACTGAACAGGAGATAGAAGGTGCCATTCAGAACATGCAATTGGGTAAATCTCCAGGACCGGATGGACTGACTTCTAGATATTACAGATCCTTGAAAGAATGGCTAGTACAACCTTTGAAAGAGGTCTGTAATAAAATAATGGAGGGGAAAAGGGCACCAGAGTCGTGGAAAGAAGCTTATATTACACTTGTACCGAAAACAGAGACTGAAAAGACGCAGCTTAAGAACTACCGCCCCATATCATTACTTAATGTGGATTACAAAATTTTTGCAGACATTTTGGCTAAGAGATTTAAAAAAGTGTTGATGGAAGAGATTCATAAAGACCAAGCGGGCTTTCTCCCAGGAAGACATTTGTCTGACAATTTGAGGAATATAATTGATATTTTGGAAAAACTAGAAGTGAACATAAATACTAAAGCAGTTTTGATATTTGTGGACGCGGAGAAAGCTTTTGACAACATTTCTTGGAGTTTTATGAAGAAGAACCTACAGGGTATGGGGGTAGGCCAAGGCTTTGAAAATGGTATAAGTGCAATTTATTCAGAACAAAAGGCTAAATTAATTGTAAATAATGTGGTGACGGAAGAATTTAAGATAGAAAAAGGGACACGACAAGGTTGCCCAATTTCCCCACTGCTTTTTATTTCGGTCCTGGAGGTTTTGCTGAACATGATTAGAAGGGACCAGTTGGTTAAAGGTATACAGGTCGGAGCTAAACAGTACAAATTGAGAGCATTTGCAGATGATTTAGTATTGACGTTACAGGAGCCAGAATCTAGTACCAAAAGGGTTTTAGAACTGATTCAAGAATTTGGTCAGGTTGCAGGATTTAAATTGAATAAGTTAAAAACTAAGGTTTTAGAGAAAAATTTAACACCAATGGAGAGAGAGAGGTTTCAGAATGTGACAGGTTTAACAGTGGTTAAGAAAGTTAAATACCTGGGGATTAACATGACAGCAAAAAATGGGAATTTATTTAAAGATAACTATGAAAAATGTTGGGCTGAAGTGAAAAAAGATTTAGAAATCTGGTCAAATTTGAAGCTTTCACTGCTGGGCCGTATTGCTGCGGTAAAAATGAATGTATTGCCTAGAATGTTGTTTCTGTTTCAAACATTGCAAATTGTGGACAAAATGGACTGTTTCAAGAGGTGGCAGAGAGATATTTCTAGATTTGTCTGGCAGGGCAAGAAGCCCAGAATAAAATTTAAAATACTAACAGATGTAAAGGAGAGAGGTGGATTTGCCCTGCCAGACCTTAAACTTTATTATGAATCAGCAGCTTTTTGCTGGTTGAAAGAATGGCTGCTTCTTGAAAACACTGACATTTTGGATCTAGAAGGTTTTAATAATGTGTTTGGATGGCATGCATATCTGTGGTATGACAAGGTCAAAGCGCATAAAGTATTTAAAAATCATATTGTCAGGAAATCTTTATTTAATGTCTGGATAAGATATAAGGACTTATTGGAAAATAAAACCCCAAGGTGGCTGTCACCGATGGAAGCGAAAGCCCTGAAAAAGCTCAATATGGAGGTCAAATGGCTGAAATATTGGGAAATTTTAGAACAAGATGGTGATAGATTGAAACTGCAGAGTTTCGAAAAACTAAAAAATAAAGTGCGAGACTGGCTTCATTATTATCAGATAATGGAGGCATACAATTTGGACAAAAAAATTGGCTTCCAGGTGGAAAAATCAAAATTAGAAACAGAACTGTTAGAACCCAAAATTAAGAATTTGTCAAGAATGTATAACTTGCTGCTGAAATGGAATACTCAGGATGAAACGGTGAAATCTGCTATGATTAAATGGGCACAAGATGTTGGACATAATATTATGTTTGCTGACTGGGAACAGTTATGGACCACAGGTATGAAGTTCACGGCATGTAATGCCCTAAGAGAGAATATTATGAAAATGATATACAGGTGGTACATGACCCCAGTCAAGCTTGCAAAAATCTACCATTTGCCCGATAATAAATGTTGGAAATGTAAAGAAACTGAAGGTACATTTTTCCACCTTTGGTGGACGTGCCCAAAGATTAAGGCTTTCTGGGAGATGATATATAATGAATTAAAAAGGTATTTAAATATACCTTCTTGAAGAAACCAGAGGCCTTTCTCCTGGGCATAGTCGGCCAATCGGTGTTAAAGAAGGACAGAACTTTCTTTATGTATGCTACAACAGCAGCAAGAATACTCATCGCAAAGTATTGGAAGACACAAGAGCTACCCACACTGGAGGAATGGCAGATGAAAATGATGGACTACATGGAATTGGCGGAAATGACTGGCAGAATCCGTGACCAGGGAGAAGAGTCGGTGGAAGAAGATTGGAAGAAATTTAAAGATTATTTACAGAAACATTGCAAAATTAATGAATGTTAGAGTGATGTTGGATTGAAGTTAAGTGGCTTCTAGCTGTACAGGTTTTAAAGCTATAAATATATCAAGATTAAGGATTAGGATCAAAAAGGTTAAGAGAAATGGAAAAATTGGTTTAAATAGGTAAAAATCTAATGTCATAATATATTAAGATTTAGGATTGGAATTAAAAAGGAGGGAAAGAAATTGCTGGGCTTACAAACTGAATTGGAATACAAAAGAGGGAGGTATGAGGAAGTCCGGGAAACAAGTAAATGTAAAAGAGGTTATGAAAGGACGGAACTATTTTTAACTGTTTTTTTCTTTTTTCTTTTTTTTACTTTTTTCTATTTTGTATTTTGTATTTTGTATGGTGTATTTTTCTCTGTTTTTGTTAAAAAATTTCTTGTTTATTAATGTGATTTTATTCTTTCTGAAACTTTAATAAATATTAATTAAAAAAATAATAAAAAACCTAATCCATATCTTACAAGTTACTATTGTTAAGTTGTGGGCAAACATATCAGACGACACAGCGATTCTTCCAAAGCAGCTCTTTGTTGTAAGCTGGAACAGAACTAACTGAGGAGCTCAGTCAGCCTGCTTATATAGAGCTCCAGAACAATGTAACTGTTGCCATTTTCTAAAACTATCCAATCACTGAATGACACTTTTCGATCCTTCATTTGCATACAAACTATCCAATCACTGAACGTCACTTTTCGATCCTTCATTTCATAACTATCTACAGTATCCCCCTGCTGGCCCAGGGTGAGAACTTCTGTACTTAGCAACTATTATAAACACTAAAACAACAACAACAACAAGACACTGACTTCCACCAATCCCACAGCACCTCCTTTATCTCTCATTGTGTCTTCCTGTTTTCCTGTTTTCTTTATCACCTCTATCCTAACATCTAGATATAAATCCCTCTTTCATATCCTTTCACTTCACAAGGTTATTCCAGACTCAGCCAGATTTCTGTCCTCGAACCTTGACTTTTGAGGTATTCATTTAGGCACTCCCATTCTTTTTTTTACTTCACTTTTTGGTTTTTGTCTTATTATGTCTGTCAATTTGACTAATTCTAAGTATTCTGAAAGCTTACATAGCCACTCTCCCCTTGTGGGTAACTGATTCCCTTTCCAGTACTTAGCCACCAGGATTCTTGCTGCAGACATTGCCTATAAGAAAAATTTAGTTTTGTCTTTTGGAATATAGTCATTTAAAATTTCTAAAAGGAATGCCTCTGGCCTTTTACTATATGATATTCTTAATATTTTCTTTATTTCTTCATGGATCATGCTCCAAAATTTCCCAATTTCGGGGCATGTCCTCCACATATGGTAGAAGGTTCCTTTTTGTATCTTGCATCTCCAGCACTTATTATTATATGAGCTTCCGGGGAAGATGGCGCCAGGTCAAGTCTCAACTGAGTCTCTGCTGCGTGAGTAGGAGCTCTAATGACCAAATTACCCTGATAAAAAGGCTCAACCTATGAAAATATCTGCCAACTTTTATCAGTAAAAGACTCTGGGAGCTGTTGGGTGGACTTTTAAACCTCCCCTCCCTTCCAAAGCTACTTAAATCAACTTTGAACCACGTACCTTGAAAAGCCCATAAAGTTGTGGGTTGGATAAAATAGCCCCATTTATTTCTGAGTACGAAGATGGTACTTACAAGACAATGTTGCAAAGAACTGGGGATTTCACCTTTACAACCTGTAACAACTCCCCCAAAGAAAAAAACAGGCCAAAATTTCAACCTACTTCCATCCCAAGGCTGATGAAGCAAATAATCCAGGAAACCTCCATTCTCATGAGTGGTCTATTGACCACACCTGGATTAGAAGGGAGGAAAAAACTAACATTGGAGGCGAGGGAGTGGACCTGGCAACAGAACTAAAATAAGCTGAGCTAGCCAAAGAGGGACCTGAAGCAAGTTTAGAACAGGAGCTATTCCTGGAAAACCTAGAAGCCATGTCAAACGAGCCTCCTTTCCCCTCCCTGTCAGGAGAGAATTTAAGGTGCCCTTCCCCGACTGAGCCGACTGAGACAGACAAATGGCCAAACAGCTTAAGGTTACAGTACCCGAACAACTGTATCTTCTACTTGTCAGGGATGTTCAAAGAGTTACTCAAAACTCATTTCACACAGATAAGCAAAGAACTTGAGCCAATTAAAATTTTCCTTTCGGAAAGCTTGAACCTGCTTACCACCCTAACTGAACTGATTAAGAACCATGAGGTCACTTTCTCTCACATGACATCTCGGACTAGGACTAATGGAGGTGAAACCAAGCCGGGACTCGATTACAAAAAAACAACAACAAAAAAAACCCAGAAACAATTCAGTGCAGGACGGAGGGTCCCTTGCTCCCAAGAAACCGACCTTAAAGAGAAAATGCTCAACACAAAAAATGAAGAAGACCAAAAACATCAAATTGAGAGGCCAAAAGGGAATGCCGACCTGCCCGACTAAAAAAATGAATTTCCAGAAGCTCTTTAAGCTGCTGGAGAATATAACAACAAAGAACTCTGCTCCTACAACCCAAAAGAAAATCACAAACTCATGCATGCCAATAAAGCACTCTGAGGAAAAGCCCCACGCCCCAGCAGATCACACACCACCCTCTAGTGGGGAAATAGGAAAACCAAAGGAAATTCCAGCTCCCATGCAACCAACCCTTCTCTTGACATCGCAAAGAAATCCCGTGTACCCTAACATAACAAGAAAGGGTCAAGATAAAACAACACAGACTTGTTGGAAGCTAACGCTAAACAAACACAAACTTGCCTTCACAATACTTCCCACAAATAGAGGACACCCATAATATGCTCAAAGAAAAGAAAATATTCCCGAAAAAATCGGAATAGTCACCAGGGGTCTCGTGACAGCAGAAAATATCATCAAGGTAAAATTCCTCCCTTATGATATGGCCCAAAATAGGGCTATAGTGACTTTTAAGGACGGGCTCTCAACTAAGCAGACCCTTTCAAATAAAGACAATTTCCTGAGGGCTGCCTTGCTTGTGCACCGTTTCTTCGAAAACATCAAAGACCCGTTACCACTTCTAGGAGCACATAGGCCAGCCAGACCCAAAACCAGCACTGCAGAATCCAACAGTGCCGGAAACGGTAAGCCACTCTACCCAGAGGCTGGCAATCTTAAACAATCTGGCAGGCTGTACAAAACCCCGCCCTCACCAAATAAGCTAGGAAAGGATTTCTCCTCAAAGGATGAACAACTCCTAACAACCTACCTCGAGCAGATCCTACTTTCCCAGGATGCACTAACTGAAAGACTTTCGACCATAAGGAAGTCCCTTCCACCTCTAGCGCTGCCTCCCCCCATGGAATTTAATTACATCAATTGCAAATCAAAGCCTTTAACCAACGAGGAATGGACATCTTGTCGATATCTGTCTCCAGAAGAAACGGGCTCTCCTACACCCTCTCCAATAGCCCAATCCAAATCGCAACAAGTTGAACTAGTGGTGCCAGCGCCGGGAATTGGCTCAATCTTCATGGATTGCCTTAGAATCCTAGAAGCTATTCATGCAGAGGAATGAAATAAGGTCTTAGCGGGTGACTGCCTGGATGGACAAATTAATACCCCCAAATTAGTCTTCCCCTCAAAAGGCTCCCCCATTCCTCCGCATCGCGGCTCAATCAAGCCAAACTCAAAGGACCTGAGGAATCAGCGGCAGAAAACAGCTATGAGAGCCTGGAATCTAAAAACCCAAGAATCAACTGCTGCCCTAAACATCATCTCCTGGAATGTTGCCGGCTGGTCCAGATGCCTCTCCCATTCTACAGGCATTCCCTTCTACCATCAAAACTTTAATATCATCGCTCTCCAGGAGACGTGGGCGGCTGAAAACCCATCACTGGAAGGATACTATACATATGCAGTGAGAGCGGTTGCAGGCAGAGGACCAGGGAGGCTCAAGGGGGGATTATGCATCCTAATCTCACTCTGCCTAAACGCCACCTGTAAGGAATTGTACCCCCTAGACCACCTAGCAATGGCCCTACTCCATATCCTGGGGAAACTGCAGTTTACTAATTATCAATGCTTATATCCCCCCAACAAGCAAAAAAAACCGATATTGAGGGCATCTGGAATAGACTGGACTCTTATGTCAGGTTACTGCTAACAGACTATCCAGGAGCAAAGGTCCTGCTGGTAGGCGACCTAAACGCAAGATTAGGTCCTGATGACCCCAGTTTAGAAACCAAATACAGGCAAAAAATAGGGTACCCTGACGACTTTGGCCCGGAGGCCTTACAACTACCAAGGCAGTCAAAGGATCAACATTCAAATTTTGCTGGAGCCTGCCTCCTCAAATTCTCTAGGCAGCTAAGTCTTCATATCCTAAATGGTTGCACCAGGGGCAACATTCCCGGGGAATATACATTCATGTCTGGGGTAAGATCCAGCACAATTGATTATATGTTGGCGGACAGCGAATTGCTAACAAAAATAGTGAATTTAAAAGTGCTCCCATTCATAGAGGGGGACCATTTCCCTTTGCACCTCCAGGTGTCTCAGTTAAACGAGTCACCCTTCCTGAGAACAGTATACCCTGCGGAGATCACCGCATTAGAGCGGTGCCGAGTCAAATGAACCCCTGCACTTGACTCCAAATTGAAGAAGATTCTAACCTCTGAAAAACTCCGTACAATTTTAACTGGCTTTCGGAGTAATCCTAGGCCTGAGGACCCAGTTTCCAAGTATGAGAGCCTGCTCCAACAATTAAAACCCTATCTTTTTAATACCACAGAGAAAAGGCCAACTAAACCAAGAACATCAAATAAGCCCTGGTTTGATTACACCTGCTTTGAGGCAAAGAAAGCCCTGCAAAATGCTTACAAAGCTGCCCTGACAGCCGAAAATTCTGTCAGACATCAAGGCTATCTTGCTGCCCTAAAAAAGGAGTATAAAGACCTAATACTCCACCAAAAGAATGCCTATAACAGAAAATGTTGGCTAGAATTAATTAGTGCGGCAAAAGCAAAACATCAGACACTATTCTGGAAACTGTTAGCTTCTGGCACCCATAAAGCTATTTCCCCCTTAACCTCACAAATTCCCCCTAGCCTGTGGGTCTCATTCTTCCAATCTTTGTATGAGGATGCTGAACCTCCACTACGGAATTATAATATAGAACAACTGGCTAAATGGCCGCCTGTTTCAGTAACTGAAGTGAAATCATATATAAACCAACTGAAAATGGCCAAAGCCCCATGCTCAGACGGCATTACGCCAGAAATGATAAAAGCACAGGCGGATTGGTGGGCACCTTTCTTAGCCACCCTCTTCACCTATATAGATGACACTGGCCGCATCCCAAGGGAATGGGGAACAGCCATAATAGTTCCTATCTATAAAAAGGGCAACAGAGGGGACCCAGCAAATTATAGGCCGATTAGCTTATTAAGTTTGATCAGTAAACTCTACGCAAAGCACCTCCTTAATAAGTTTACAGAATGGCTAGAGAACGAAGATATCCTGGCAACAGAACAAGCGGGCTTCAGACCCGGAAGGTCCACAACAGATCACTGCCTAATGCTACAACATCTCATCGACAAATACAACTCAGAAGGACAGGCCTCACTATACGCTGCCTTCGTTGACCTAAAAGCAGCCTTTGATACAGTCTCCAGAACCAGACTCTGGGATAGACTACAGGGTACGAATATAGATAGAAGGCTCCTGCTCTTAATCCAGGCACTGCACGCAAACACGGCTCTTAGAGTCAGGTGCAGCCGCCTAGGACACCTAACGGACCCTATTAAAACCTTCAAAGGAGTCAGGCAACGGTGCCTATTGGCCCCTCTACTATTTAATTTCTATCTAAATAACTTAGCATCTGCACTCAATGACTCAGAACTCCACCCACCAAAGCTTGCAAATCGGCATATTTCGGTCCTGCTATATGCCGATGATGCGGTAATTCTATCTAGAACCCCTATTGGACTCAAAAGAACACTAAGAAAGCTCTCAGCATACTGTGAATCTGAATGTCTCAAAATCAACTATCAAAAGACCAAGATACTCGCTTTTGGGGAAAAACCAAAGCTTAGAAGGCCATAAATTAGAACAAGTCACAAACTACAAGTATCTAGGAATGGTGGTACAGGCCTCAGGAACCAACAAACTACACATAAACTCCATTGGGAGTTCAGCGGGGAAAAACGCAAATTGTATTCTTAAATTCTTCAGAGCACAAGGGGGCTTCTTCGTCCCCGCAACTCTAAAATTATACAAGGCCAAAACTTTGGCACAACTCCTGCATGGTTTCTTTTTGGGTCCGCCTTCCTCTGCTTTCTCCCCCCTTGAGAGAGTTTGATCTAGACTTCTTAGAGCTCTCCTCCAAGTCCCCAGATGTGTCTCAAACGCATGGGTGAGATTGGAAATGGGGATGATGAGAGTGGAGGCTAGCATCTGCTTAAGATCAATCTACAAATGGCTGACATTGAATCTGCTCCCCCGAGGGATAGCCCCACTGATCCTTTGCGACCAATTCCAGTCAGGCTGGCAGACTGCAGTTCTGAACACCCTCTGGAAACTGGGTTTTGCCCCTCAAGCCCTTCTAAGTCTGGGCTTGGGCCAGGCAAAAGCTACGGTCAGGCAAAGAATATTAGACACCGAGAGACAGCTGGACTGTGCAAGGTGCCCCGACTATAGAATTGGAGAAATCGAGAGAGATATAGCCGCACCAGCAGCATATCTCTTCTTTCTCGTATCTAGAAATGCAAGAAGGGCCTTTACACTCGCCAGAAGCGCGGCTCTTCCCTCGCCGGTCCTGGATGGAGCCTTTAGAAAAGTCCCCTACGCTCAGAGACTTTGCACCTGTCCATTGGGAGAGATAGGAAGCCCAGAACACTTGTTCTTTAGATGTCCCTTTTATGAAGAGGCACGTAGTAAGATCATGGATCCCCTACTGGTGAGGCTCTCCGACCTCCCGCAAAAGCAAAAATTTGACCTTTTGCTGTTAGGCAAAGATCAGAAGATGACCTGGATGGTCGCCAGATTCTGTGTACAGATCTGTAGGCGCAGACCATCGCCCAACTCAAAATAGTCCGGCATGAAAATCCCCAAACTCGGTTCCATGGGTGACTCTGAGTCAACTCCCTGGGATAGTTTATTGTTGCACATTGATTCTAAATTTATTGTTGTACATTGTTTTAATTGTCTGTTTTAGCCATATTTGCACATCAGTTTCTAATGTTGTGAGTGTCCTCTATTTCAGAGGCTTCTACTCTGCAGCCTCTTATAGTTGTTTTAACTGCGAGTCTTTTAGTTCTTACGCTCTTACAGTTGTTTTAACTGCATGTTTTTATTTGTTTTTAGTTCTTATCTGTTTTAATTATCAGTTTTTATCCATCCATTATCCGTGTTTAATCTTGTATTTTATTCAGATGTTTTATCCTATGCTTGTTTCCTTGTTCTTATCTGCTCCAACATTTATCAGTTAAAAAAAATCCTAACTGCTATTTTATTTATATGTTGTTGTTGTTTTATCCTGGTCTGTGACCATAATAAAGTTCGTTCATTCATATTATGTTTTATTCATTTTTGCAAGCCTTTCTGGTGCCAGGTACCACCTGTGATGCATTTTCATATAGTTCTCTCTTATTAGGTAACATGCTGTAAAATTTATAATTTTTGTCCATAGTCTTTCCCATTCATTATATTCAGTTGGGTGGCCCAGATCTTGTTCCCATTTTTTAATAGTGTCTCCTTTTTCCTCCTTTTCTATTTTCCCATTTTGTAACAGTTTATATATTTTTGAGAGAGTCTGTTGGTTGTTATATAAAATTTCTTTCTCCCATACCGAGATTTTTTTATCAAACCCCTTAAGCTTACTATCCTTCTCAAATATTATTTTTAATTGGAAATATTCTAACCAATTCACCCCCCTCTCTTTTAATTCTTCAAATTTCTTTACTGTTGGGCAATCTTCTTTCTCTTCTACGAGTTCCCTATATGTTAGCCAGCTATCTTTCATATTGCTTCTATGCAAGGCTGATGACTCTATAGGTGATAGCCACCAGGGAGTTTTGGTTGTTACTATTGTTTTATTTCTTTCCCAAACTTCGAATAGGGCCTTTCTCACCAAATGATTAGTGAATCCTCTATGTGCTTTTATTTTATCGTGACCCAGGTAGCCATGCCACCCGAAAAGTTTGTCCCAGCCCTCCAGGTCTAAGATTTCAGTATCTGTCAGTAACATCCAATCTTTCAGCCATGTCATGCATGCAGCCTCAAAATACAGCTTGAGGTTTGGGACTGCGAACCCGCCCCTTTCTCTAGGCTCCATCAGTACTTTGAACCTTACTCTTACCGGGGGTTTTTTAAAAAGCAATTGATTATGGGGGAGGGGATTAGCACAGGATTACCTTGGAGGAAGATCCTCCCCATCTTCCAGGCTGATTTCCGATATTTGATCTTCATCAAAATCAATTCCCTGTCCATGAGAAAAGAGAAACAGGAACGTCAGAATGTGAAGAATGGATCAGACCCATCAAGCAGTTGGTCCCTTACCTTTCCCGCCCCGACCTGGCCACAGTGATCCATGAGACGGTCACCCCCAGGCTTGACTACTGTAATTCGCTCTACGCGGGGCTGCCCTTGAAGCTGTCCCAGAAACTCCAGCGGGTGCAGAATGCTGCAGCGAGGCTCCTCACGGGGTCTCTGCCATGGGAGCATATTCACCCAGTGCTTTTCCAGCTGCACTGGCTCCGGGTGGAGTACAGGGTCAGATTTAAGGTGCTGCTTTTGACCTTTAAAGCCCTCCACGGCCTAGGACCCTCGTACCTACGGGACCGCCTCTCCCGGTATGCCCCACAGAGGACCTTAAGGTCCACAAATAGCAACACCCTAGAGGTCCCGGGCCCTAAGGAAGTTAGATTAGCCTCAACCAGAGCCAGGGCCTTCTCAACAGTGGCTCCGGCCTGGTGGAACGCTCTGTCTCATGAGACCAGGGCCTTGCGGGATCTGATTTCTTTCCGCAGGGCCTGTAAGACAGAGTTGTTCCGCCTGGCCTTTGGCTTGGAGTCAATTTGATTCCCTCCCTCTCTTTCTTTTTTCTTTTCCTTCTCCTCCTGCGATGAGGCTACATTTTAATATTTTAATGTTCCATTATTTTAATGTTGTATTTTATTTTTGTTTTTAAGTTGTAATCATTCATCTTGTTTTTATTATTACTTGTAAGCCGCTCTGAGCTAGGCCTTGGCTGGGGAGGGCGGGGTATAAATAAAAAATTATTATTATCATTATTATTATTATTATTACCTCAGGTTACATACGCTTCAGGTTACATACGCTTCAGGTTACAGACTCCACTCACTCATAAATAGTATCTCAGGTTAAGAACTTTGCTTCAGGATGAGAACAGAAATCGTGCAGCAGCGGCGCGGCAACAGCGGGAGGCCCCACTAGCTAAAGTGGTGTCTCAGGTTAAGAACAGTTTCAGGTTAAGAACAGACCTCCGGAACGAATTAAGTATGTAACCAGAGGTACCACTGTAATGGCAATGGTGCCCACCTCAGAGGTGCTGGAACTGAGTTCTGGCTGGAGAAAAGCCATGGGCCTGATCCAGCAAGGCTCCTGGGGGACTTCGAAGTTGTGTTTCTCAATAACAACAACAACAACAACAACAACAACAATTTATTATTTATACCCCGCCCATCTGGCTGGGCTTCCTCAGCCACTCTGGGCGGCTTTCAACAAAATATTAAAATTCAGTAAAGCATCAAACATTAAAAGTTTCCCTAAACAGGGCTGCCTTCAGATGTCTTCTAAAAGTCTGGTAGTTGTTGTTCTCTTTGACATCTGGTGGGAGGGCGTTCCACAGGGCGGGCGCCACCACCGAGAAGGCCCTCGGCCTGGTTCCCTGTAACTTGGCTTCTCGCAATGAGGGAACTTCCAGAAGGCCCTCGGCGCTGGACCTCAGTGTCTGGGTAGAATGATGGGAGTGGAGACGCTCCTTCGGATATACTGGAGCGAGGCCGTTTAGGGCTTTAAAGGTCAACACCAACACTTTGAATTGTGCTCGGAAACGTACTGGGAGCCAATGCAGGTCTTTCAAGACCGGTGTTATGTGGTCAAGCATTGGGCCCCACACCCACCACCACAACATACAAAAAATACATTTGAAACCAACCAGGAGATCATGCGACAAAGCCAACCATTTCCTCCCTGACAGAGTTGTGGGCCATGGGTGGGCAACCTTTAGCCCTGTGTTTCAGAATACCTCTTGGCACTCCCCATTTCTTCCAACCCAAAAAGGACTAAGGTGCCCATGTGCCAGTGTTGGGCAGGGGTGGTCAATGTGCTGTCTTCCAGATGTTGCTGAACTACAACTCCCATCCTCCCTGACTGATGGGAGTTGTGGTCCCAAAACATCTGGACTGCCTTTCTTAGGAGCTACAAACCAAGCCACTGCATCATGAGTTAACCAAACCAACTCTATCAAGGCTTCCTGAAATAATATTTGAACAGTCCTCTTTGCAGATTTAACCCAAATGATGACTCAAACTGGAATGACAGAGCGGATCCAAAACAGATTAGGCTTCATTCAGATGCTACAATGCAAGGTGAATATTTGGGTCACTGCACATCTCTAGAAGATGTGAAAAATCCTATGGGTTACTGGGATGTAAGCAGACACCAAAGGATTGCATCGTAGGTTAATTTCTGGTTTGGTTTGGTTTTTTAAATTACCTAGGATTTATTGATCCACTGATAAGAGAGCTTTTAAATTACGATTTTTCTGGTCTTTTAAAATGTACTAATATGTTGAAAATTGACCCCATTCAAAAAAATAATAACAATTAAAGCTCACGAATCTAGAATATTGGTTCTGTAAAGTTTGGCAAATAGCTTTCTTCAAATGAGAAATCAAAAAGTTTTTGGCACTCTGGCATCTGTTGATTTTTAAAATAGTCAGGAATCTGGTAGAACAGTTCCAACGCCATATAAAATGGTTTGGTCTTTTAAAAGGGGAAACAGGATCAACTGAAGAAGGGCTAGATGAATTAAAGAAAACAAAATGTGGATATAATTCACTGAGTCATTTTGATTTTGATTCTGCTATAGATTTTGGAGCATCTTAAAAAGCAGAGACATCACCTTGTTGACCAATGTCCATATAGTTAAAGCTAGAGTTGTTCCGCCTGGCCTTTGGCTTAGAATCAGTTTGATTCCCTCCCCCTCTTTCTATTTCCTTTTCCCTCCTGTGGAGAGGCTGCATCCTAATGTTTTAATGTTGTATCTTAATCTTTTAAATTGTATTTTAATCAACTTGTTTTTATTATTGGTTGTTAGCCACCCTGAGCCCAGTCTTGGCTGGGGAGGGCGGGGTATAAATAACCTCTACTTACCTCCAGGAGTCTTCGGGATGCCATCCTCGCCTGTAGTGACGGAGCGAAGGTCACTACAGGCGACCTCTGCCAACCTCGGGATGCTGAGGAACTTCAAACGGTCACAAGCTCCGTTGCTAGGCAACGGCAGTTGAGAAGATGGAATTCCCGGCCTCAGGGCCAAGGTTCTAGGAGAGTCCGTGTGGCCTAGTGGTTAGAACAATGTTAATGCCATGCAACACTAGGGTGATATATATATGTATATTCTTTGAAATGTATAGTTTAATACTTTTTCTATTATTTGTAGCCTGCTTTGCAGGCTCTTGTTGTCTCCTAAAGAAGCTGACAGGATTGCTCCCCTGTACTTATGTGTTTGCCGTGTACATTTATGAACGTTTATTTTATATTTGGGACCTTTGAATTCTGAACTCTGAACTCTGGATTAATAACATTTTAGGAATCTTCCAGTATGGCTAATTCTATTGCTGGGAAGGACTCAGTGACCCTGGTCTATTTTTGGAGAGAGGGTGGTATGGGGTTGGGGGCAGGTGAGATGGAGGTGCTTGGCAGTGGGTGTGTTGTATGCAGAAAGCGTACGCTTCAATTCCCATGACCCACCTCCTTTCAGTTACTAGTTTCTTGGGGTTGGGGCTAAATCCATGATGGGTCAGAGAAAAATGAGCAGCGACAGGAACCAGTCAAAGCAAGTTAGATCTTAATTTTACTGTTGCGACAGAGTTTCTCACCTTACATGTTGCATGGAGGTGAGGAGCCAAGACAAGTGTGTGTAATACCCCACCCATCTGGCTGGGTTTCCCTTAGCCCAGAGGTTTTTGACTTTTTTGAGTCCACGACTCCCTTGACCAACTACATTCTTTCTGTGGCAGCCCTGTGAGGCTCAGGAGCCCAGCTATGTCACCCCTTGCCAGCAGAGCTGGCAGCCTCTCGTTCTTTTTCTGACTCCTTCCCTTTTGGAGTGTTCCCTCTTCTCCTCTCCCCTCTCCTTCGGAGTCCTCTGGACAGCCGCAGCTGCCGCCCCTTCCCTAAAGAGAGGTGCCTCCTCATGCTGCCCCACAGGGGCCTGGGAAGCACCCCCTGGCCAGCTCCAGAGGCACCGTTCGCCTGGGGAGCTTGTACCCAGGGGTGCTGCAACAAACTGGTGCACAAGCCTTTGGGAGGCAGAGATGCAAGAAGGCATGGGGGGGGGGAGAAAGAGGGACAGAGGCCAGTGTTGCTCACGTCACCCTTGACCATCATTCAAGGCACCAAAGGGTGCCACAGCACCCTGGTTTGAAAACCGCTGCCCACCCAACAAGCATCATACATGCATCACAGAAAGAGGCAGTCTTCTCTCCTGGCTTGTCTCTTGTCATGATACCTGACAGTTTGCTGTTTGCCCTTTCCTGACCAGTCTGAACCTTTCCCTTGAAATGGTAAATACCTCAGTTCTTGAACCCATTGTCACAGATCTACCCCTATTTATGTGAGAGGTTTATAGCTTTTGAAGGATTTGTAAGTGAAAAGAACTATTGGGAAAGGTTTTTCCTTCAACTGCAGAGTAAATATCTGGGGTCATTAAGAGGGCTTCAGGATTGCTCTGTGAACTCAAAGAAAGTGTCTTTTTTTTCAGGGAATATTTTATAATTTTTGAATGGTGAAGGATTGTTTTTTCTCTAGGGTGCGTATCTGCTATGTGTGCACCTTAAGATTTGTGTAACACTCATGCCAACTTCTGTTGCCCAGCGCCTGCAAGCCCCCTACTGTGACATCATAGAATGCTTGCAGTTTTTTTCATAAACCACGCCAGCAACTGCTCACCAGGAGCAGAACTGAGCAGCTTCTGTGAGTGAAGTGAAGAGCTGTTTCTCAGAAGAGGAAGCCCTGGGAGAGACTAGGGTTCAAATACCTCCTTACTCAGCTATGCAGCTCACTGGGGCAGGTTGTGGGGATTAAATGAGAAGGTGAGAACTATGTATGTCATCTTGAGCTCCTTGGAGTAAAAGATGGGATATCTATTCAGACGCCCTCAGAAGGTGGTGGACTCTCCTTCATTGGAGGTTTTTTTATACACAGAGTTTGGGTGGCCATTTGCAAGGGATTCTTGAATTGGATTCCTGTTTTGCGTGCAATTGGACTAGATGTACCTTGGGATTCTTTCCAAATCTACAATTCTATGATTTTGTTTAAGTGTCATTTTATTGATTAGATAGGAAACCCTTTCGAGACTGCTCTGAGATACCAGGTTGGATATAAGCGCCATAAATGAGAAAAGAGAGAGACACGTCGGCCTGTGAATGACCCCAGGCAGCTGGCAGAAGGACTCGGACATAGAGGCAGAGGGAACCTGGAGGCTTCAGGACGAAGTTGCTGTTAAGCACTGGACGCAGTGCCAACTGGAAAAGGTGAGTGGCCGTCTGCAAGATCTTACAGAGCTCATGAGATCTTGAGATTTCAGGAATATCTCACAAGCTCTTGCTAGCCTAATACTGCTATTAAACCAACTAGATTTAGTAGGATTATGCGTAGGGTTTCCATGTTGGGTTGCAGCTAGCACTGCGGGCAGGGTAAAGTCCTGGCACTTACATGACCTCCCACTGCTGACTTTGCTGCTGCTGGCAGGGTTGAATAAGGTTGGCACAGTGCAAACACACCGGTGCAGCCAAACTCATGCTCATGCCAGTGTGTTCACACCACATCAACCTCACCTCCTTCCTCCTCTACCTGTTCCCTTTTGAGATGCAGATGAGGACATGTTTGTGGATGAACCCAGCTTCAAGGCCGAAGATTCCCTGTGGTTACAGCAAAGACAATCCTAACCGAAGGACAACAGGAAATGATTAATTGCATGAACATGCAATTGCCCTGCCCATTTTCTCCCCTATCTTTATAGGTATCGGTTCTAGCCTGTGACCTGGTATGATGCAAGAAGTGGAAAGGAAGCCTTACCATCCCAAACCTGTGGTGGACATTGAACCTCCAAACTCTCTGGGGATGGATGCACCGGAAGCCACCGGTCCCACAGAGGGAGATGTTCGACCGTGGATCTTACAATTTTTCGGTGGACCTGAAAATCCTATTCAGGAAACAACCAGTGGGAAAGAAATCCTCCTCCCAGGCCTTGGAAGAAACACATTCTGCTCAAGGGCCAAGTGACTGTTTCAGGACAAATAAAGTGACAGTTGCAGGTGAACCAGGAAACTGAGAAGTGGTATACAAAACTAAATATGCAGGAGGGTGTAAAGGTAAAGGTAAAGGGACCCCTGACCATTAGGTCCAGTCGTGGCTGACTCTGGGGTTGCGACGCTCATCTCGCTTTATTGGCCGAGGGAGCCGGCGTACAGCTTCCGGGTCATGTGGCCAGCATGACTAAGCCGCTTCTGGCGAACCAGAGCAGCGCATGGAAACGCCGTTTACCTTCCCGCCAGAGCGGTACCTATTTATCTACTTGCACTTTGACGTGCTTTCGAACTGCTAGGTTGGCAGGAGCAGGGACCGAGCAACGGGAGCTCACCCCATCATGGGGATTCGAACCGCCGACCTTCTGATCGGCAAGTCCTAGGCTCTGTGGTTGAACCCACAGTGCCACCCGCATTCCGCAGGAGGTGTAGATAGTCTTTAAGAAAGGATGCTCTTCAAAGGCTGGGTGGGGGTGTAACAAAAATTGGAAGTATTGCAGACCCTTTTTCTGACCTGAGAAGTCAATTGTCTCTTATTTAATCAGCTGAATAAACCAAGTCTAACCCCCTTTCCTTGGGGGGCCGGGAGTGAATCTGGAACATGTATCCCAGGGAAGAGCAGCATAGATTTCGGCAACAGGTTGTAGGCTCCATTGCTCTTCCCCCAGCGCAGCAGCACTCTTCCTTTCCCAACGGGATTCCCCCCTCTTCTTCACAGTAATCGGCCTTCCAATAGACAGCCTTGGATTCAAGCATTGGTTTCCAGCAGGGCTGTGAAGTGCTGAAGGGGGACAATTTGCAAAAGTTTGGCACCATTTTTGAGTGAATCAGATTTTTACTGAAATTGTCGCGGGTTAGGGATTTTTTTCAAAAAAATGCTTTTCTGCAGGTTAAGGCCTCGAGGGCCGATTGTTTGACCCATGATAAAAACCTTTCTCTTTCCACAGCCAAACCTTTCAGGGGACAATTTGCAACAGTTTGGAACCATTTTCGAGTGAATCGGATAACTTCAGAGAACTGGCCAAGACTGGTTGGAAGTAGCACAGACTGGTTGCAACAGGTCTAGGCTGGTTTGAACCAGTCCATGCTGATTTGTGCTGGTCCAAACTGGTTTGAACTAGTCTAGGCCGCTTTGAACTGGTCTAGTCCTTTATTCCAACGCTTTGCAACATATATACATGCTTAAAATATTTGGGCAACTGACAAAACTGTGATGGAAAGAGCATTTAGACCAGGGATGGGAGATCTCTAAGACTCCAATTTCTATCATATACCTGCCCTTGCAGGTTGGGGTGGATAGGAACTGGGAGTCTACCAACATATGGAAAGAACAGGTTCCCCACCTCTGATTTAGATCTGCACCCTCATAAGCCAAACTGCCAATGTCAACAAGCTCTGCATGCATTACATGGGCAATGAGAAGCAACTGGCAGAGTTTAGCAACAGACCTCATTATTCTGCAAAATGCAGAAATACTTTTTACTCTGGCCAATTTTGCCATGCAGAAGATGGCTGGAGGGTGAGGAAACTGGCTATCTGGCCATGAGGGCACTCGACTGATCTTGAGACGATACCCGTTGCTAAAATGCTAATCTGCAATTTAATTTCTAAAACTTTTTTTTAAAAAAAACAACAAGAGCCAGATACTTTTAAAAGTTTTAGTAAAATTATTTATGTACGCCAATGCATAATATTTACATTTATATAATACTGATGGGCAGGGGAAGAGAACCGAACCGAACCATGGTACAACAAAAAGACACACTGAAATGGTGAAGAAAGATGATTTTGAGAGAATGACGATTGAATTTAGGATGGTGACACAGCTACACCCATGCTGCCAGCCAGCCAGCCAGCCTCAGAACAAACTCCTCTTTCCTGGACAAGTCCCTGCTACTCTGAATAACAAACCAGACAAGCTCATCTGAGCTAGTTGGATCTTGATGCCCACCATAGTGAGGGGTTGCTGAGAAAATTCCAACAGGGAAAATAAATGTGGAAAACATTGCATCAGAACAAAAGAATCCCACCTGCATTTCCAGTTCCACGAATGATTGGCAGGTACTGTTATGAATCTGATACCTTTGCAAACAGGGTTTTTTTCCGGCCAAAGGGAAAGTTGGAAGTTTTCCACACACACACAAATCCTCTATAGTTGCCTTCCCCAACTTGGTGCCCTCCAGATTTGTTGGACTACAGCTTGCATCAGCCAACTGTCAAGTTGGTTCGGCCGAACGCTGGAAGTCAGCTGCAGGAGACTTGCAAGACTCCTGGTACCACCAGATCTGGGCCACTGCTTTAACGGAAGAAAGTATAACAAAATGCAGCTGAACCCTGCGCAATCCAAAAGCAAAGGACAGCTTTTCTAAAACCTTCTATTGCATCATACATTAAAGGAACACAACTGGCAGCTACCTCAGGGATTCCTTTGGATAATATGCTTATGAAGGACAATCGTCTGGAATTATAATGCTGTTTTTGGAGTACTACCACTCCCTTCTCACCTCATATTCCATTCTCTTTCTTCTTTAGATCACTTTTTCTTTTTCCTTTATTATTGCTATTACTGCTTTTTGCATATTAGAAAATGAAAATTATTTTTTTAAAAAGGATGATACAAGTTGCAGTCCAAAAAATGTGGAGGACGTGGTTGGGGAAGGTGGCTCTAAACGCATTATCCCAGAAGCACTGCCAGGGTGGAAAAACAGAAGGTTGAACAACTCATTTTGTCCCATTTTGCTTACTGATTTCTGTCCACCCAACTCAGAAAACAGCTACTGATGCAGAGGTTTCCTATGTACGTATGAAGCTCTCTTTCCTGCAAGGGCTCCCCTGGTTTACTTCAAAAGTGATGGCAAATCTGTGCGAGTATTCCTCTGAAGTTAACAAAATACCCATGCCTAAGTTCTACACATGCTTAGTGGTTGAGCTACTGAGTGGGCAGTTGGTATTCTCAAGAATTCCTCAGCAACCTACTCCCCATGGACTTGTCCGTTGAAAGCAAAACTCCTATCCAGTATCTGCCTTGCCTTGTATTGTATTATGAAACACATACTTAGAACCAAAACCAACCCAGAGATCTCAGCCACTTAACCTCCTTTAAAATAAGATATGCTGGCAGGCATAACAAGGCATTTTTAAAAAAAATAAACCCACTTAAAACAGTTAAGGAAATAAAATTAATCTTTCGTAATAAAGGGGGGGAAATAACAGCATTTGATCTTCAACCTCAAGTTGCCATACTGACCTTAATCTAATCCATTTTTTTCCTTATTGTTCAAAGTGACGGATCTGGCAAGGGCTGCCAGGTCTTGTTAACCAGAGTGGTGAAAGCAGAGCATTCTGGGAACTGCTTATGCTAGCAGGGAGGGGTCAGCCACTGGAATTTAAGAACAGCCTCAAAGCCACACTTGTTTTACCACAGTCTACTCTTTGCACATGTAAGTTGCCACAGAATTTCTGCAGAAAATGGCAAGACAACCGCTGTTGTGAGTTCTTCGTCACACCACTGCAAGCCAGTCCCTCTTAATGCCCTCCGTGGGGAGGGAAATCGAGGAACAGTGGTTCCAAAACAAAGGTGCGTGTCAAATTCTTGAAGAATACGGGTGCCAATTTTCAGAGCAGAACAATACTGAAAGGGAAGATGCTACTATTTATTTCACTGAAGACCAGAGACATTGGCTTCTGGATAGTTTGATGTTCCCACACAGAAGTAAATTCCAGCTGACAAGCTGGTGGTAAAGATTCACCTCACCTGGAACTTTTGAAGAGCATCCAAGAGCCGCTTTCCACTTCAGCATTGCTCTTGTAAGTAGAAGCCTCCATCTGCATTGCAGGAAGTTGAAATAGACAACCCTTTGGGCCAATTCTAAGTCTATGAACCTCGCTCTGCACAGCCTCAGTGAATATAATCCTGCTGTGAGCAAGACTTCAGAAGGCCCATCTTCTCTTGACATTTGGCTTGTGGGCATGTCCAGAGAAGGCCTTTTCCAATAGTTTCCTGGTGCGTGCTCTTAGTGTCCAAGTCAGATCATGAAGAAGAGGAAGAGTTGGGATTTGATATCCCGCCTTTCACTCCCTTTAAGGAGTCTCAAAGCAGCTAACATTCTCCTTTCCCTTCCTCCCCCACAACAAACACTCTGTGAGGTGAGTGGGGCTGAGAGACTTCAAAGAAGTGTGACTGGCCCAAGGTCACCTAGCAGCTGCATGTGGAGGAGCGGAGACGCGAACCCGGTTTCCCAGATTACGAGACTACCGCTCTTAACCACTACACCACACTGGCTCTCATGGTTTTGTACTTACGCCTTGCCCCAATTTATTAGCTGTGAGCAAGCATGCAGGGTGGCCTGTTGATGCACCTTCCTCCCAGCCTGACCGCACAGCTGTCAGCGCCAAAGACCGAAACCAAGAAACATAGGGCACCCACCTGAAAATTTACCAATCAGTTTAATACTTTCCACTGGGAATTGTTGGAAAGAACTAAGAAAAAGGCTGTTACACATTGAGACAGCATCCTTGATAGGCAAGGGTTCCAGTCCTGACTTACACAAAATTATGGCAGAGGCAGAGGTGAGCAATGAGCCAAATAGCGGTAAAAGGACAAAAAATGGAGCATAGCAACTGATGAGGCAATATGGCTCAGGAAACCAAGTGTAAACAACCCCAGAAGTAAGTGAGCAATGAAAAAGTATCCACGTGAAAAGTCAACAGCTCCTAAGAAGCCTTGAAGCGGCACTTTACAGGCTAAACGGCACAAGGGATTGTACCAAAATAATTCTATAAAACCGTCATCCGTCAAGTCGTAAAACGCAAACGTGTCGTAAGATAAAAAACTAGAAATATGTACAGATCTTTGTTAAATGAATTTGTTTAAAAAAAGGAAAGGAAGAAGACCAACCTATCCAGGTTAGAGGGCCGGTTTCTGTCCTTTTTCAGCTTCAGAAGTGGGGTGGGTGGGGAAGAGGGGCAGCATGAAACTCAGAGACCCAGGAGCAGGCAGGCTGCCTCCGCTAGAGGCTCTTTGGGTCACCCTCCACAGCCAGCTCTTCTGCCATCAAAGCAGCTGCCTTGGAAGAAAAGTTACAAAGGACAATCATGCTGTTCGTATCCTTCAGTGCTAAGTTCAAGTAATTTACTGAGCTGAATGCAAAGGGCAGAGATAGAACAAGGCTAAGTGATACAGGCTGTTAACTATTTGATACAGGCAGCTGGAGGGAGAGAAGACAGCATCTGGTTATTGAAAAGAAGACAATCATAATTTGCCCCGTCTAACAGTCATGTGTTAAAACGGTACATAAAAATTATATTATATATATATATATATATATTCTGAGGAACTGAGCTTTTAAAAAAATATTACAGTACCAATGATTCTCGTTATCTACATCTATACAGCATTTCTCAAGCTGCATGAAAATTTAAATGAAATAATTGTGATTTATTAATTTACATAAAAATACTTTTTTACATTTTAAAGGAGAAATCTCAAATGGTTAAAAAAAAGGAGGGGTGTTTTTGCTTTGTTAAGAATAGGAGGCTCCAGCTACTGAGAGTCATGGGAGTTTGTCTGTTCTTCAATAACTTGTTTCACAATTTCTGCAAGTTTTAGTCGGTCCACTTTGTCTGTGAATCCTCTGCCTAAAATAGAAGACATGACCTTGGTTAGTCCCAAACTGGTGAAATGGGGAAAAAGACAGACACTATCAAATGCATTCATTGGCTTAGTTCAAATACGACATGAAACCATGGCTTGCCTCCTGGCAACAAACCAAAATGTGAAGCAATGGTTTTTTGCTGGCTTACAAACTGTGGCTGGTTTTAACTATGGTTTGGCACTGTGTCTGAACTGAACAGCCCTGGTTGACCATGGTTTGCTTAGCCACCCCACTCCAGATACCAAGCTACAGAAGCACAAGGCAACAGCAGCTGCTAAGCAGCTGTGATTTCTTTGCCTATATGAAGGGTGACTTGTGGTTTACTGAGCAAATGGTTAAAACAAACCACGGCTTAGAATTATGTGTGTATGCAACCATAGGCCAGACAAAGAATCAAGTCAGAGGAGGTCCTCGCCTCTTGGTCCCAAGCAGAACTTGAAGGAGGGCCCCTTTTCAGCCTTTGCAACAGTTCCTGAAGTTAACAAAAGCTGGCAAGTGTTTTTTTGCAAACAGTTCAGTACGGCGATAACAGAGCCATCACTGAGCATGGACAGAGAGCTGCAGCTTCACACGACTCTTGTTATCACATTTGCATCCTGACTGACCTCCAAGGAGCTCAAGAGTGCATACACGGAACGTCCCTCTTTATTTTCACAACTCCATGAGACAGATTATGTCGAGTGGAGGTGATATCAAGGCCGGGGAAACCAGAGAGAAGAAGAAGAGGAGTTTGGATTTGATATCCTGCCTTTCACTCCCCTTCAGCAGTCTCAAAGCAGCTAACATTCTCCTTTTCCCTTCCTCCCCCACAACAAACACTCTGTGAGGTGAGTGGGGCTGAGAGACTTCAGAGAAGTGTGACTGGCCCAAGGTCACCCAGCAGCTGCATGTGGAGGAGTGGAGACGCGAACCCGGTTCCCCAGATTACGAGTCCACTGCTCTTAACCACTACAGCACACTGGGGAAGAAGGGATGCTCAGCTGTGCTTAAGGCCTCTTGAGGCTGGGCTCCCTGCACTTTTTTAATGCCAAGAAATATTTACCATTCCAGCTGAAGGTCTGCAGCGTGTCTCGCAACAATTTACACTCCCTGTTATATTTCCAGGCTTCCAGCATCACCTCGTTCAGCTTCTCGTCTTCGTTCTCACCTGTTTCAGAATGGGAAAAGCGTCACAGGAGGGTCCCTCACAGCCCTCGCCAAGGCTGCACAGACGGGAGGAGAAGGGCAACTGTACCCCCACCCCACAGCAGTGCAGATGTATCAAATGTTCTGCGGTTCATCCCCAAAATAAAAGTGCAGGGGGGGTCTTCAATGGGCGGGGGAACGCACAAGGCCACAGATCTTGTAACTCTGATGTCTGCAGAAGTCCCACAACTTTGCCCCATCTTAACTGAAAACACATAAGAGGCATTCAGGAGAGGGAATACTGGGGGGTGCATTGGTTGTTTGCAGTGGGGAGGGCCCTTGCCATCCAGAAAAGCCACAATCCAAAACCTGTTAAGTTCCAAGTCCATTTTTGAGTAAGTGCCTGTCAAAGGAAAGTACTCCTATTTGCTCCTTCATAAACGTAATCCAGTGACGCTACCTGAGAGGTACAATTAATCCAACAAAGCCAAGAGAGGTTAGATTTGCTCCATCTTAATTATCCTGCTGCCAGCAGGGCTAAGGCCTTCTTATTCAGACAGGCCTTTGGAAACCAAGATGATGCTGACCACTGGGCCACTGTGAGGACAAACTGTACTTTAATGGTTGGTTTTTAAATGGGTTTAGATATATTTCAGTCATTGTTCTGAACTAGTTTGTTTTTATTACTTTGTATTTTATAATGTTGTGAGCCGCACTGAGTCCCAACTTGGGAGCAAGGCGGGGTATAAATATGTAATAATAATAATAATTGCTATAGTTAACTTAACTAGGCTGAGCTGCGCTTGCCAGTTTGTAAAGATAAAGCAGAAACGCACTAGGAACTTGCCCGTTTCTGGAGCTGACTTTTCTTTTCTGTATGGATTTTTACAGTTCTTTTTTTATTCCCCGGTTTGTTTTTTGCTCTTTCCCATCCCTTTGCAGTGCTTGCCCACCTCCGCAGCTGCTCAACATGGAGTGAAAAGGCAGGTGGGATGGGACAGTAGTTACCGCTATTCTTGCTTTCATCACCGGTTTTACTGTGGGAATAAGTGAAAAGGAGGTAGTGGAAGAAGGGCCCATTTTTATTTAACCAGCTTACGACCTGCAGTTTAAAATACTAAATCAGCAACAAAACAACAGTTAAAATCAGATCAGAACTAGTAATGTAAAGAAGACGCCTAAGATGTGCATTTTGACAAGGTGCCTAAATGCCGGGAGTGGAGGAGCTTGGCCTGAAATCCTCATGGCAAATTCCAAAGAACGAGGGCCTCCGCTCAGAAAGTCACCAGCCTAGCATCAAGATTTTATAAGGATGTGCAGGCAGGAGGGCAAGAACCATAAAGAAAGGTGCCCTTGGTTTTTCTGGATAACCTGGAAGCACCAGGCCATGTGGCTATTCACAGAAGGCCTTTTCAATCACTGCGCCTGTCATGCAATGCTCCCAGGACAAGGCCTGCCTGGTCCTGTTGGTGGCAGCCTTCCAACACGTGGCTAAGAGCTGCTGTGACAGAAGAGCAAGTGAGGAAATGATTTGACAGGAGGGGAATGGAATGGAGCCTTGTGGGGACTGAGGCTGGCAGATAAGTCTGTCTGTTGGGGAAATGACAGTGAGGGGGGAGAGAGTGGCTGTGAAGGACACACACACAGAGAGAGAAATGAGATGAGGGATATATTATAATAGCCATTATGGATCTTAAGTTATGCTAGATCAGAAAACTAGAACTACAACGTTAGCGCAAGATATAAAGGCTGCTTGTTCTGACTGTTACACTCCTGAATTAAATATATGTTTAACTACCTGTGTTCTGCTCTGGGTGGATTCCAAGGCAAGCATATCTCACCGCATGTAAAAGTAGTATTTTATTATCATTATTCATTGAATTTCTATACCACCCTATAGCCAGAGGTCTTGCTACATTTACTTGCTTTAATGGCTTTCTAAAAAAACATTTTGTTAGCTGCCTTTTTGTTTTTGAAGGCAGAAAAGTGGGACGTAAAATATGCATTATTTTTCAGTTCTACTCCCAGAGCAGAATGCTGGGAAAGTCTAGAAACCAGTATTAATTGCATGTCAGTGGTGGCGAAATGGTAAGTGGCCAGTAGAGGGAGACAGAGGGATAATTCAGGCTATAGGGCCAGTCTAGGCCTTTGGTAAGGTCACTGGGCCAGACACGGCTGTCCTTACAGCAGATACACACATCAAACAGAGAGAAAATTTTAATGTGTGAACACTCAGTAATGAGAGCTCCATTTCTAGATAAAGACAATACAATCAACAGGGGGTGGAAGTTTTCAGCTGTGGTGCCCCGGTTATGAAATGTTGTTTTGAAGGAAGCCCACCTGGTAACTTCAGTGTTATCCCTCACACAGACATTTTAAATTTCCCTGTTTTTGTTAGCTTGTTCCAGTAAATGTTCTGCCGCACTGTTACTCTGGCTGTGTTGTGAGATATTATACACGTAGGTCCCCCTATCAGCCCGTTTGTTATCCGCATATTCGCTTATCCAAACACAAAGAACGATGCCCAAATCTTCAGATTCAGATATTCAAACAGCCACAGCTTGCCCACTTCTGTACTTGTTTGTCGTTTGCTGATCAAAGGCACCTATTTTGGTGCAGAAACCACAGAGAGAGGGAGCAGAGAGCGAGAGCAAACAAATCAGGGAGCAGGAGAGATAAGACAAATCTGTTTTTCCTTTGTCTCTCTTTCTTGCTGGTTGGCTGCAGCCATTTTAGGAAGAAACCATGGTGAGAAAGGGGGTGGGAGAGATCATGGATTAGAAATGTTCCCATAGGAAACAATGGAAATCTCTCAAAGGACCTGTTGATGGCATTTTACCATTGTACTGTGGAGACTGTATTAACTTATGGTCTGTGTGTGTGGTTTGGGAGCTGCACGGTCAGGGAAAAAACAATGATGTCCAGGGTTGTAAAGACTGCGGAGAGAATAACTGGGTGCACTCTTCCCACCTTGAATCAAATCTATGCTTCCAGGTCCCATAAGAAAGCTGGAGAGTTAGCGCAGGATAGTACGCACCCCGTAAATGATCTCTTTCAGCTTCTGCCTTCTGGAAGAAGGTACAGGGTTATAAAGACTAGGACTAGCCGCCTGAGAAACAGTTTCTACCCAAATGCGATTTTGGTTTTAAACGCAGTGTAAGGAGTCTCTATGGGAGTATATTGTATTTTAAAATGGGGTATCATAGTTTTTAGGGGCCTAACCAGGTTGGGATAGCTGGGATAGCAGGCTTGTTGGGTTTTGAATGTCTTATGTCGATTTTTCAATTTCGTTGTTCTGTATGGGACAATGACAATAAAGATTATTGTATTGTATTGTATTGTATTGTATTGTATTGTATTGTATTGTATTGTATCATATCGTATCGTATCGTAATGGAAATCATGGACTCATTAGGCAAACGCTTGCCTAGCCAATGATTTCCAGGGAATGCACTGTTTTCGGTAAGTGGGACCTGCGTGTACCGTTATGCTTCCATGCTGCTGTAAACCAGTGTGACGTGCAAACTGTGGCTGTTGTAAAAACGGTTCAAAAGCACAGGCAACCTGCGGCCCTCCCACCAACTCCCTCTCCCACAAACACAGCTTGTCTTAAAATCTGCGACCTTTACCAGCCTGTGGCAGGATGCACTGGGCAATCACGTCACGGAGCTTTTCCAGGGCGACATTGGAGTCTTCGCTGCTGTTCTCAGGATCATGGATATACACGCTGTCCTTCGGTTTCGTTCTGTAATGAGATAGGGGAGAAATGTGAGTGCCCCAAGCATCAGGGTCTCCCAGAGCCTCCTTCAGCTAATATCAGGTGGGAGTTCTGGGTTCTTCTTTTGCCTAAGAGAGACGTTAGCCGCCCATGAAGAAACTTGTGCCGGAGCTAAGGGATCGACCAAGATGGAGATTCCTTGCCTTTGAGCTTGTTCCCTCCTTCTATACTTATTCCATCTTCTGGGATTCCCCACCACTCCAGCTCCCTGCCAAGCACATATTTAGTGGCTGTGAAGAAATTCTCCCAACAGCATTATGCATCCATTACTGCAGATTATGATGAAAACGTTGAAGAAAAAACAATTTTCCTTCCTGCCAAGCACATATTTAGTGGCTGTGAAGAAATTCTCCCAACAGCAACAGCATCCATTACTGCAGATTATGATGAAAACGTTGAAGGAAAAACAATTTTCCTTTCTTTTTTTAAAAAACTCTCCTCTTCCCTTTGCTATTCATCCCTTTCACTGTCTTGTTGGGCTGGAAGAAGCGCCTCAGAGCAACTCTACCTCCTTCCAGTAGGGAGCCACCCTCAAGAGCAAGACACCATCCCAACCCCCAATGCCCATGACTTCCCTAGCCCCCGTTGTCAGCTTTTGGGCAGGTCCCCAGCTCCTCTGCTATAGCAGTGGGGGAACTGTGGCTGGGAACATCTGGAGAGCTGCAGGCTCCCCATCCCTGCTCTGGAGGAAGCGGAATACCTCCAAGATCAGTGCCTGCTGTGTTTCAAACAGGCCACACAGGCCAGCTCCTTCCAAGGACAAGTTTCTTGTTTTAGAAGATTTTTTTTGGGGGGGGGGTTGGAGCCTGTGACCATCCAGGTATTGGGCTGCAGTTCCCACTCATGCCTGACTGCTGTCCATGCTGACTGGGACTGATGGCAGCTGGAGTTCAACCATGTCCAGAATGCCACGAATTCCCATCCCCACTCTGCAAGGCTTCTCTCACTATTCTTCCCTAATAAGCATTTAGCTCTTTTCAGCTCTCCCTTCCCCTGTCCTTGAACTGCCCCCTCCTGCAGCCTTTGCTCTGGGATAGTTACCCCAGCAGCTTCCTCTTGCGCAGGATAGGGTTGTTGACAGAATGGAGGGGCTTGAGGCTGACTTTCAGATCCTGGATCCTCATGTTGGCCAGCTGCTCTGCGTGTGCCTGCTGAATCCCAGCAACCATTGCCTGGTACAATCAGGGTGGGAAGGGGGGCAAGAGAGAAGAGGGAGGCAAAGAAGTCACAAGTCAGGTTATGAATTAATGCATAGAAGTGATAACAGAAACCAACCGCAAGAGCCTGGGTCCAGCACCTGCTTCCTGAAGGCCACAGAGAGATGTGAGCCACCCCAAGGGATGCAGACCCCAAAATAAGGTTGGACTGATCACTCAGCAGCCTAGTATTTAGATTACCTCTTGATAACAGGGAGCGATTTACAAAACCCTCTAACAAGAAAGCGCTTGGCATGAACTTGCCATGCAAGGTTTCCATCAACAGCAGAGACAGACAACGCTTGGGTGAACAATTTCAGATCTCCTGGAAGTGGGCTCCGTAACAGCATGGTCAGCTGTCAAACAACATTTTGGAAGCTTCAAGGAAATGTGACAACCTGCCTTTGAACAGGGATGTGTTATTAGAACCACACCGCCATCAGTTTTCCATTGTCTGCCCTGGCTCTGACATCCAAAGCCCATTGGGCGGGGGAGCAGCAGGCACAAGAGGATCGCCTCCTCTCCTAAAATCGAACTCGGCTTTTAAGACATCCCCTCTTGAGAGTCCTGTGCTTAGTCAGGACTTTAAGGGTGTTCAAAGAAGTGACCTTAGTGCAGGCTTCCTCAACCTCGGCCCTCCGGATGTTTTGAGACTACAATTCCCATCATCCCTGACCACTGGTCCTGCTAGCTAGGGATCATGGGAGTTGCAGGCCAAAAACATCTGGAGGGCAGAGGTTGAGCAAGCCTGTCTTAGTGGCTGTCCTTCAGCTCTGGAATTTCCTGCTCTTGCAACCTGCCCAGCACCACACATGGGTCGCCTAGGATTATGAATCTTTGCTCTGCAACTTGACATAGCACCAGGAGGGACACCTCTTGGTCCAGGTCTCTCCAACAGCAACAGCAAATGGCGCAAGCTGACAAACACTCCAGTGTTCATGAGGACAAGTTACGTCATGTATGAAAAACCTACCTGTAAACCAGGGGGATCCAGAACACTTTTACGTCATCTGGTGGGGTTTTATATCCTTTGCTTCAGATTTAGAAGCTCAACCTTCACTGTCCATGCCAGCTCAGGAAATGTGGATGCTTTGAATTATATGGATGCGTCCCCATTTCTTTCTCTTACTATTTACTGCTTGCTTGCTTTGTGTGTGGTATGATGCAATACCCTGCTACCACACTTTTGGGTTGTTAGTAATGTTAATAAAGGCAAAAATATTTATTTAATAAAAAAGAAAGAGAAGTATTTATCCTTGCTCACAAGACGCTTGGGAGAATATAGCCACTGCAAATACTAACCTATGTAAGTAGATGGGCCTGGGATAATTTTCTGCTGACCAATGTTCCTTGATCCTTAAAAACAATCTAGTTAGGAAAGCCAAAAATAGTACCAACCTTGTCCATCATTAACTGGGCAGAGGGCAAAATGTTATCAAGCGCCTCCGTGGAGTTCAGCCAAGGATGGTCCAGGACACCTTCTATTGTCAACCTTTCCTCCGGCTTCACCTTCAGCAGCCTAGGAGTTTAAGGAGTTATAAACATCAATCACAAACCCACCCGTTTCCTTAAAAGATGCACTCCTATCCTGTTCCGTTTTTCCAAGGGCGCCTTTAGACTTCATAAAACCCTGACCAGCTCAACGTCAGCTCTTCTCCGATTACCATCTTCATCCTCCTTCACGGAGTGAGCTCAAGTTGTCAATTCAGGAGACAAACACCTACTGAGAGGCGACATCCATTGCGTCCTGGTGCCCTGTGTGTTAAATGGCATTGGCCTCTAACTTCTATCAGCCCCAGCCAGCACGGCCAACAGTCAGGGACGGGAGCTGTAGTCCAACGAAACCTGGAAAGCACCAGGCAGGGGGGTGTGGGTTTTCTCATTAAGAAGGTAATAGCAAACCATCTTTTGTTTTTAACTTTTTATGATTTTATTGTTTTCATACTGCTGTAAACTGCTGCGATATATTTTCATGGTTCAACGGTATATAACTATTTAAATAAATAATCAATCCCTAGAAGTGGCCGAGACACTGAGACTGTTCCTCACAATCCACCACAGGAAAGTGTTCAAGCATATTTTAGAGCACATTCGGATTGTGCAGGCAAAGGATAGGAAACCTCTCCTGTGGGCCTCGTTAGGACCTTCCCATTTGGCCCACAAGACCATTTCGGCCAAGCCATACCCACCTTCCCCACGGTAAAAGATACTTGTGGCAGAGACCGATTTATGCCTGGGAAGTAGCCACTATGTGAATGGAAGCCTCCACCTGCTTGTATTAGCTGTGACCCCCCCCCCAACAAGCACTACAGGCAGCATGACTCACCCACCTGGGAGAGTTTTGCACAACCCACTGGTGATGGGACTTACTTGCGCACCATGTCTTTTGCCATTTCAGAGATCTGGCTCCATTCCTCCTCTGGAAATTCAAAGCTCCCTGTCATGATCTTCTTCCGCATGTCCTTGGGAATTGTCCGACTGTGGTGCTTAGAGTAGAAAGGTGGGTAGCCGCACAGCATCACGTAAATGATGACACCCAGGGACCATAAGTCACAGCTCTGGGAGAAAGATAAAAAGGAATCTTAACTTTGTATGGAGCGTGACTTGAGAGGGTTGGGATGAAGGGATAGGGGACCCCCAAGGGACGCGGGTGGTGCTGTGGTCTGAACCACAGAGCCTAGAGCTTGCCGATCAGAAGGTTGGTGGTTCGAATCCCTGTGACAGGGTGAGCTCCCATTGCTCGGTCCCAGCTCCTGCCAACCTAGCAGTTCGAAACCACCTCAAAGTGCAAGTAGATAAATAGGTACCACTCCGGCGGGAAGGTAAATGGCATTTCCATGTGCTGCTCTGGTTCGCCAGAAGCGGCTTAGTCATGCTGGCCACATGACCCGGAAGCTGTACGCCGGCTCCCTCGGCCAGTACTGCTTAGCACAGTCTTTATCTATTTTTGGAAACCAGGCAAAGGCTTTTCTCTTTACCCAGGCTTTTACCCTTGATTTGAAGGGATGCAGTGTAGTCTCTTTTAGTGGGGTGCAATCAGTAAGCCCCAATTTGTTTAGCTGTATAGCTGTGTTTTTAGACTTGCACCAGATGTTCTTAACTCATTTTAGCACAAGTTGCTTTGAGTGAGAAAAGCAACTTTCAAATATGATTAATGCTGTTAATAGATGTGGCTGTGTAAATATTCCACACTGAAGAAAGAGGCAAACTCTGCATTGGGGAAAGTCAAATGCAAGTCTTGCATTAGGCAAATCAGTGAGTACAACAGTCCCCCCCTTTCTTTTTCTGCACAAATGTCTCTCATACAATGCAAGCAGGTGGCAGAAGAGTGTTTTTAATATACACTAGGAAGAGCTTGATGGTGGGAGGAGAAATATAACCGAGGGTGTACATAGTTCCAGGAAACTGACCGGAGGTCACAAAAGAATGGCATGTAATCATGCAGACACACATTTCCACTCCCTCTTCCCTATACACAATTATAGTAGTAATAATAATAAAATTTTATTTCTATCCCGCCCTCCCCAGCCGAAGTCGGGCTCAGAGTGGCTAACAACAGTAAAATAATACAACATTCTAAAATCATTTCAACTGATTTCTGCAGCTGCTGCCTGCAACGTTTAAGTCATTTCCCTAACTCAGAGGGGAAAACATGTGATTTATAAAGCAACAACAACAAACCACAAAAAATTGGTGCTTAACACAGCAGAATTCCGTACCAGCCACCATCTTCTGTGCCGGGCATAAAATTCCCCATGAAAAATCAGGCAAATGGAAAGACGGCTGCTGGGTATTCCTGAAACACAGCCAAGGACACTTGGGTTGAGAAGCATACCTTATTGTAAGTGTAGGGCGTTGGCGAGGTAGGAATGATACCAGATTTCTCTTTCTGATGCCTTCTCTGTGCCTCTAGTACCTGCGGGGGATGGAGGGGGAACATGGGCAATCTTTAGACATTAACAGCAAAGAGGAGAGAGAAACATCAATGACACACCTTTGCGATCAAGAAACATAGACCATAGCACCTGCTGCAAGGATTGGGAGCAGGGAGCAAAGCTAGCTGGTTACACTGGCTCATAGATGCGTCTGACACAAGGAATTTTTAAAAGCAAGCTTCTCACGTCAGTAGCTGTCAACTGTTATTGCAATGCTGCTCTCAAAGATCTCAGAACAAATAAAGTTGTCATTGTCCTGGCATATAAAAGCTGAAGTCCATGAATAGTTAAAAAAAAAAAGTTTGCAAATGTCTGCTGATTTATTTTGCTTGCGTTAGTCATAATGGCAAAGGAATTATATAACACACCAAAACCCCATTCCCTCGGAACACTGTTCGGCCTCCCTCTTCCTTCCAAAATTTCAACAAGCACTACTAACATATTTTCAGATTTTTGCCAACACAGGAGCTAGAAAACTCAAGATTTTATTTTTTATTTTTCAAAAATTCAGGTTGCCAAAGTTCAAAACAAATGCCTAAGATTTGTACACTGACACCCGGTCTTGTAGAGGGCCTAGGAACAGAACATCTTGAGCGGCAAAATAGGCTCACATGTGCTGCATATGTAATGTTTTGCATATTGCAACTACTCTGGTCAGCGCTCTCAGCCAGAAAGTTCTCGTGCACTAGCACTCCCTGTTGCCCAAGTGCCATTCAGGCTTGTTGGGCCTGGACAGAGAACTATCAGACGGGACTTCTAGAGCATGGGTGCACAACCTTTCAGAATGCAAAGGCTACATACCAGCCATGCAAAAGTCAGATGTTTCTAGACACCCACCCGCCCACAGATTCAGCCTCCGTCCAGGCAAGCAAGAGGCATTATTCAAGGGCATGTTCCTGCCAGGCAGAAGCACTCAGAGAGGGTGCATAACAGGGCTGGTGATGGGTATGGCCAATGGAGAAGCTGTGTGGCATAGGAAGAGTCCTGTGGCCCAGATAGGGAGGTTTAGGATGGGGGGGGTTCATTTTCAGCAACCAGGCCCAAGGGACTGCCTCTGCAAGATTCTTATGGTGCTTACTCTGTTCTGTGCATACTCATGTTCCATTACAGCACATAAGCATCAGAGAAATTTGGGAAGGGATGACATTCAGTTCAGGCCAGAGTATAGTCAAACCTCGGTTGTTGAACGTAATCCGGATTCTGGAAGACCGTTTGACTTCCGAAACGTTCAACAACCGAGGCGCGGCTTCCAATTGGTTGCAAGAGCTTCTTGCACTTAAGTGGAAGTCACGGCGGATGTTCGGGATCCAAAAAATGTTCAAAAACCGGAGCATTTACTTCTGGGTTTTCAGCATTTGGGAGCTGAAATGTACGATAATGGAGGCATTTAGGAACCAAGGTCTGACTGTACTGGGAAGATCTATGTTACAATTATGATTATTTATTTAGCTTATTAGTCACCTTTTCTACAAAAGCAGCCCAAAGCAAATTCTAAGAATAAGCAAACAAAAACATTAAAACCAGCAAAGGAAAAATATAAAAGATAGGCTTATTTTTAAAAGCAGGATTAAAACATCCCACCCATTCATGGAGACCACAGATAATTAAAAACCAAAGGCCTGGTGGAAATGTTTTTGCCTGGTACCGAAAAGTAAGCCTCCCTTGCGCAAGCATTCCACAAGAGAGAGCCATGACTGAAAAGGCCCTTTCTCATGTCGCTATCCTGCAGACCTCCTGTGGAGGGGACACACAGAGAAGAGTCTCAGATGATGATCACAGGTCCAGGTTAGCTCATATAGGGGCCCTTGTGGTACTAGGATCCTAAGCCACATAAGGCTTTATAAATCAAAAGCAGCACTTTGAATTGGGCCAGGAAATTAACGGTTAGCCAATGCAGTCATGCCAGGATTAGTGTTAAATGCTCAAACCGCCTTGCCCCAGTGAGCAACCTGGCTGCCAAATTCTACGCCAGCAGCAGTTTTCAATCATCTTCAAGGGCAGCCCCACGTATAATGCATTGCAGTAATATAACCTAAAGGTTACCAGAGCACAGACAACAGAGGTTAATTCTATCCATGTCCAGAGAAGAGGTCTAGCTGGACCACTCTTGGTGGAATCCATCCTTTACCTGAGGTGCTACGTAATACGGAGTGAACTGCGGTGTCATCAGGTCACCCTGGTCCACCTTCGCAAATCCAAAGTCACACAGCTTCACTGGGGCATCCTAAAGGCAAGCAGCAAGGGACACCTGAGAGACTGGTTCAATCCCAATTTCACCCCTTTCCCCTCGTGCACACATTTCACACTCGGCAACAGAAGGTGGACAAAACAGCACGGCTTCTGCGAGAGAAATTATGTAAGAACGGGGGGTGAGGGGCAGGGATCACACGGGTGCTGAGGGCTGTGATCCTGAATGGGAAGAAAGGGGGGCAGGATAAAGAAGCTAAGAGGCAAGGAGTTTGCTGGCTGAAAGGGAGAGGACAGAATACCGTATTTTTCGCTCCATAAGACACACTTTTTTCCTCCTAAAAAGTAAGGGGAAATGTGAGTGCGTCTTATGGAGTGAATGGCGCTGCACAGAGAGGGAGAGCTGCGCAGCGCCCCTTCAGTGAAGCGCCTCTCCTGGCTTCTGCCTTAGCTGTGTGCAGCCTCTTCCGGCAGGGGGAGCCTTAATCCTGCTGCCCTGAAGAGACTTCACACGGCTATTCCAGAAGCCAGAACAGCCAGAGGCTATCCCAGAAGCCAGATCCCTCTTGCTGTTCTGGCTTCTGGGATTCAGAATATTTTTTTTCTTGTTTTCCACCTCCAAAATCTAGGTGCGCCTTATGGTCTGGTGCATCTTATAGAGCGAAAAATACGTTAACTAGGGAGCTGGGAAATGGTTAGAATGGAGGGAGGCAGCAAGAGGCCTAGGAAAAGAGGGCCAAGGATACAGAGGGGTAAAGGGGAAACTCATACAGGGCCCAGGGACAGAAAGGGCTGCTGTTGACTGGAGGAACAGGTAATGTGAGCTTGGGGCAAAATGAGAGTGGCCATTTCACATTCTGATTTGAACTAACCAGCAGCATAGCTGATTTAACAGCACCCAAAGTAGCAAACCTCCATCTTACCAAAGAATTATCCTTGAAAAGAAGGTTCTCAGGCTTGAGGTCTCGATGCGCAATGTTTAAAGAATGACAGTGTTGCAAAGCCAAAGCTATCTGGAAAGAGGGCACAAGGAGTCAAAACACAGTAACATGATGGCATCTGCACTTAAAAAAAGAAAAGGAGCACAGTAGATACCCTCAGCAGCACCACAGAGGGTGTCCCTTAGAATGAGTGGCTCAGGAGGTCAAAGGAAAAGCAGCTGGAGATCTGGGATGGAGACACAGCACCACAACTTTTGAGTCTGGCTCAGTCTCTGTGGTCTGGTTCTGAGATCACAAATCTCCACCAGATCACCACCACCCATCCTACCCATCTGCATGTACTGGAAGACTATGCATACATGTGGGGAATAAAGACAGATCCTGAAAGCACACTGCTAAGGGCCAGGTGGAGCATTTCTTCAAAAGGGTTGTCTGAGATCTGGCAAAACAAACTGCTGAGCAAACGGCAAAGAGGGCCGTTTACTCCCGGGGCTGGGGTGGGGAGAGGCACACACCCAGCAAACAGCTGTTTCTGCCTTGGCAGGCTGCTTCTATCAATCAAGCCATCCATCCCAGCTTGAGGCAAGCAGCGTCTACACGGCAAAAGGTTCCTTCTGTTTTTACAACACAGATTCTCATGGTTTGAGGCAAGTGAGTTCCGTCAGGGAGGGTGCAAGCAGGGTATGCAAATGCTGCCTGGGCCCTTGGGGAATGTTTTCAACTCCTGCTTTCACCTCTCTGGGTGTTTAAGCTGGATGAAGTGCAGCAAGCATTTCCTAATCTTCTCAGAAGACCTGAGAAGGGACCTCTTTGCGTTCCTGCAGAGCCACAGTGGGGGAGAGGAGGGAACACCTCAAAAGCCCACCTTGCAATAGTTGGAAAAGTTGTGCTTGAAATTGCCCAGGGTCAACTGGAAACGTGAAAAGAAAGACACACACACCCATCCCAGCTTGTTGCTAATTGCTTTCAGTTTCCAAAACTAAAGTGTTAATCCGACTTATTAAAAAACATTTTCAATAGCACAATTGTATCTCAACAGTGGCCCTTCATTTGCTGTTAACAGACCAACTGAATCTCTGAAGTAATTAAGTGATTAGGTTCTGCTCAACCCTGATGTTTACGTGCAAGATTTAAACGATGAAGGCAGGTGACAGAAGATTTACTGCCTTGTTTGCAACTTGCTATGGGGCCAATCAGCAGCTCCAGCCACTGTTGACCACGCAGCAACCACAGCAAACCACAAGTCTACTACGAAACACAATGACTGTCCTTGAATGGCAGGCCGCTTAGAACCAGAGCAAGATTAAGGGCACCATTTAAAAGGTGCAAGTTGAAAGCAAAGATCATTCCACCTACGTTCAGTGCTAACAGTTTTAATTTTGTTAAGGGCATATTTTGAAATGAAAAAGAATAAAAACCAAAAGGTGGCCAATTTGTTTCGCAGAATATGTCAGGCTAAAATGCCCAATTAGCTCCAAGAAAGAGAAAATTATGTAAATATTTTCATTAATATAACAGTGCCACTGGGCACACTAATTCTTCACAGCATTCTTTTTTGAAAATTGAGGCTGCCAATGGTAAAAGCATGGAGTGGGACTTGAAAAAGCTGTATATATGGGCTCTGGAATGGGAATTACTAGAAATTTTAAAAGTTGACACAAAAACCATCATTTATACTTCTCTGTCCACTCACAACCAACCTTGGATAAAACCAGGGACTCTTGAGCTAACACCCCACACCCTCAGGATAGGCAAGGAACAATTCAGACAAAGTCAAGTATTTTTAACTTCCACAGATTCTAACTGGATATATGATTAAAGTTAAAAAAGGTAAAGGTAAAGGACCCCTGAAAGTTAAGTCCAGTCGTGAACGACTCTGGGGTTGCGGCGCTCATCTCGCTTTATTGGCCGAGGGAGCTGTCCGCAGACAGTTTTTCCGGGTCATGTGGCAAGCATGACTAAGCCGCTTCTGGGGAAACCAGAACAGCACATGGAAATGCCGTTTACCTTCCCGCCGGAGCAGTACCTATTTATCTACTTGCACTTTGATGTGCTTTCGAACTGCTAGGTGGGCAGGAGCTGGGTCCAAACAACAGGAGTTCACCCCGTCGCGGGGATTCGAACCGCCGACCTTCTGATCGGCAAGCCCACGGCTCAGTAGTTTACACTACAGCACCACCTGTGTCCCCATGATTAAAGTTATCTCCCACTAAATTAACAGGACGTACACATAGGAAATCATAGGATCATAGAGTTAGAAGGAACCACAAGTCATCTAGTCCAACCGCCTGCATTGCAGAAATCTTTTGCCCAAATGCTTAAATCCAGCTGGATTAATATTCTAACTACATATATTTAACCTTGTGTTTCTGAAAAGAAAACATCATTTCGAAACAGTATTTTAAAAGTAGTTGTCAGCCTGTCAAAATGGATAGAACTAGATGGAAATATAAATGTTATAGCATTCACAACCATCCCCTTGGGCCATCTACCAGCAAGACTCTTTAGTGAGTCTACATCACATGCAAGGTGGAGGCGAATTTAATGATGCCTTTTACCCAGATCCACAATGAACAGCACTCTGCTCAAGCAGGATTATTTTAAACAAAAAACAATATTTTTTTTTGCAAATCTTAGAATTTAATGTTTCTCCAACAAGTTACTTTTCTGGGAAGAACTCTCCCTGAAGAAATTAACTTGCGTTAGATCAGAACAAAGCATTGCAATTACATTGCGATGAAAAAGTCGTAGCAGAAAACACACAGAAAGAACAAAACGTGGATTCACGGGCAACATTTCATTAGAACAAGAGACAAGGCACCCAGAGACCTCCCCCACCACACCCCCAAAAAAGTAGAGAGGAGAGGTGCTGGGCCAGAACACTCAGGTCACCCTGTCACCAAGGCATACACCATATTCCTTAAAAAAGACCAGCAACACAAATCATGACAAGAGATAGGAACAAGCAACCACGTCAAACATGAATACAAAAAATACATGTTCGTTCCCAGAAGGGAAACTGACTTATTCAGCTTTGTGCTACAGTATTTCTCAGCCTGCTATTCCTTGAGGACCAGACTACAGTCATACCTTGGTTTTCGAACAGCTTAGTTCTCGAACGTTTTGGCTCTTGAACACTGCAAACCCGGAATTGACTGTTCCGGTTTGCGACCTACTTTTGGAAGCTGAACATCCAATGGGGCTTCCGATTGGCTGCAGGAGGTTCCTGCAGTGAATCAGAGGCTGCGCTTTGGTTTCTGAATGTTTTGGAAGTCGAATGAACTTCCAGAACAGATTCTGTTCGACTTCCAAGGTACGACTGTACTAAGAAAGGGCTGTCTCTCTTTGGATACTTCATAGGACCCAAAAACAGCTAGTTATTCCACTGCTCAGAGACTGCCCACATCTCACAAAGGTCCAGGGGTTTGAGTTTCAAGACTTGCTCTCACAAACTGCACACTGGCCTGCTCACTAGGGTAGGGCCTACATGGATCTCCAGAGTGTGAAGAACTGGAAGAGTCTCAACTGACCCAAGACCATGCTTCTGCCTTGAATTAGGGGACCCTGTGCTGATGACACACTTCGTCACTCTTTCTTCAAAGGCTTTGTAGCGGCTATGATAGCAGGGAATTCATAGCTATGTTAAGTTTACCCTGAGTAAAGGTGCCCACGGATAAGAATTTCATTAATATCTAACCCTATCCCTGTGATTTTTCTTCTTTATTTAAGAAGAAAATTCTTTATTTCTTTATCTGCATAGACTAGAAATCCCCAAAATTGCGTGCTGCAAGAGAATAAATTCAATGTTTCTTGGAGCTCAAAGCATCTGCCAGCAAAATAAGCTGCTTCCTCCATCCTTGGACAAGTCATTGTTCAGGCCTTGCTGCCGTCCCATCAGCCTTTGCTGGAAGCAGGTGATATGCCCAACTTGACACTGCAAAATCACCTCCCATCCACCCAAAGGAGGTAGCCCACTCAGTCTTTACATGAGAAACTGGTGCTGGGCAGACCTCCTCTTCAGAACAGGGACCTGCAGAGGCAGGTTTGGATGGGCTCTGTTAAGGGAAAATAATTCTTGTCCTCATACACCCTAAAAAAACCCCAAAAAACTTTGGGAGTGCAAAGGATGAAGTGTTCCTCCAGTTTTAACTCAAAAAAGAGAAAGGCTGTCCAGGAGATCATAACAAAGCAGGCAATCTTCTGATTAGATCAGAGGGTTGTTTTCTTAAAAAGCTTGCCGCTTGCCCTCCCGGTAAAATTGTCAGTTATTTTATGGGCTGTTTCCTCCCATGCTTTTCGCTTAGACAAGGGCGGGGTGGGTGTCGGGGGTGGGTGGGGTTAAGTTAAGAACTTGCCTGCTTTGTTACTTGGCTTGCTTGCTTCTCAGTAAAGTGCCGATGTTGGCTGATTCTGTGAAACAGTTCTCCCCCTTCCATCATCTCCATTACAATTAGGAGCCGAGCCCTGTTTTAAAAGTATTCCAGTTCGTTAAATGAAAAAAAAAAAGTCAAAACGTTAATAAAAACTAGAGCTAACACCCCACACTTCAAACCAAGGTGGGGTCTGAGACAACTGGGCTCTATTGCCCAGTTCAATATTAAAGAGAAGGTGATCAGTTTAGGATTTGGGAATTCCACGGAATCTGTTTTTCTGGGAATCATTGAAAGAGAAAACTCCCGGAGAGTGGGGAGCAAACACGTCGTGGGCAAGAATTTTTCTCCAAAGGAATATGCACATTAATGCTACCATTTGCCCGCTGTTTGTGCGAGCTTGTGGCAAGTGAC